GTGAACAAAAATGTCGTAATTGAAGCTAGCGGCTGAGTTTGTTGCAAAAACCGAAATTAAATATAGCATCGAGCCGAGTTATTACATAAAACACCTGCATGTGATTGCGGGTGCTTCTGGACGTTCTGCTGTGGCCTGCTCACATCTATTTTCAGCGGTTGTATGGAGAAAAGTAGTGACATTCTTCAGCCCACCTTTTACAACGTTTTTATTTGGAGTCAGTATTTGAATTGTGCAATGTATTTTATTCCTAGATTTAAGAATGTTAAAAAGTGTAAAAAAATAAACATTTTTGTTTGTTGGATAAGCCCAATAAATTTTGGTAAACAAAGACGTTTTTGTTAATGCTGGGTACGTGTGAGTTGTAACATCTGGTTTGCCTTGTGATAACAATGACGTGTTTGTTAATGCTCTGGGTACGTGTGAGTTGTAACATTGTCTGGTTCGCCTTGTGATGACAAAGACGTGTTTGTTAATGCTCTGGGTACGTGTGAGTTGTAACGTTGTCTGGTTCGCCTTGTGATAACAGCCTTGTGGTCATGTATCGCTTGGTGGCTCCGTGGGGCTCTCAATGGCCATGCCAGAACACTGAGCCGGCACTGCTCACTCAGATGGATTTTAATCTGGTTTTCATGCACTTGAATTCCAGCCAGGTTCCCGAGTACTGTATAGTGATTAGCGCCCGTACCTCCATTAAGCACAGTTCGTTGCATACTGATGTAAGTTAACTGCTCTGAATTCAAATTGTTTCACTCTACAGCCCTTTTCAGTCAACTGCTGGAAGCAGGCCCCTCCTCACACCGTATCTGTTGTCACGACCCCATGTTGCTGACTTCTATTTCACACGCTTTCTTTTAACTCACTCTGTTGTTGTTGTTGTCGTTGTTGTATCCTCAAATCTTGTAACTCAATTTTAAACCACTTCCCAATGTGGTATCGACTGCAAACTTGGTATGCTTATGTCATACTGATGACAATACTATATTCGATCATAAAAAATAAAACATTAATTTTTATACATTCTTTTTTATATGTTATGTTTTGGCTTGGGTCTAATTGTCCACGGTCAACATGACGTTGGCTGTGATTGGTCACGGTCCCCTTTCGTTGTGGCAAGCTTCGGGGCCACTTCCTGGAGTCGTGGAGTTCTGCCATTACTAGTACATTTCATAAAAGCGTGTTTAAAAAAAAGTTTAAAAAAGATATTACTTATTCACCAGGCTGGTCGGTGCGGGTTGGCGAGGTGGGGCTCAGGACTGCTTCAGACATCAACTCGCCACAGATGTAAGCTGTGGCCAGAAATAAAACTCGGTTCTCTTGAGTCCATATCACAGTGTGTGGAAAGCACTGGGCCACCGCTTGACCCTGGAATTCAGTTACTATATTATTCCTATGTTTGTCGTGGTCAAATCTTGTAATCAACATTTAGTCTACTTCCTGTTGTCCAATGAATTCCAAATTTTGCACACGTACTCAGATCTGGTGACAATGCATGCCTGTATCAAAATCGGCATCAATTCATCAATTAATTGGCTCTTTTAAAGCAATTAACATTTTGTATAGACGGCTTGTTAATTAAATATGTATTTGTGTGGGTCAAAAACGCCGCGGTCCCGAAATTCTGGAATCGCCTCGCCCAAGAAGCAGGCGCCACGTGTCTCAGGCGCCACGTGTCTGTCTGTCTCAGGCGTGCCTGCTCCGTGTGAACGAGTTATGGAAGTAATCAATTAAAGTCAGCAGTTGATGTGGGAGCACGTGTCGCATCATTGACGTACGTCACGACCGTGAGTTAAACGAAGTTGTTAATCAAACCATTGTTTAAAAAAAAAACTTTTTAAGGAGTTTATCAAGATTATAAGATGCACTCCCTCCCCCCCCCCTGTAATTTAATGCAAAGGTTCGGGCTGCATCTTATACTCCCGGGGATAGAGCAGTTGAAACATTGGTGATTGGCCAGGTTGCTCTGTGACTGTGTGTGCGACTCGCAATTGGAGGGTTGTGAATTCAGATTTTGGTCTTTCAATTCCTGTGGGGTCAATAAAATAGATATCATATTGGCTGTTCTATGGAGATTGATCCATCCTGTGGAAATGTCCTGGCTCAAATCCGCCAATGCTTATATTATCAGGGAAAACAACTTTATTTACCCTTGAACAATACATTGTAATCGTCAGCCATGATAAATCCACTGCTGGATGAAGGCCTCCCAAAGCTGTCTTAATTCTGCTCAAAGGGTCAAGCAATATTAGGTCTGCCTCATTTCTGCCAGGTTCAACCTGGATACGTGGCGAGCTGTTAGCCCCTCCTTCCGCAAGCCCCGCCTACTTCTACATAACCACGCCCACTCCACCACTAGCCCCCGCTCACTGTCCATATATTCCCCGCCCCTTGCAAATAACAGTTTATCCATCGATTAACCGGCACGCGATTATCCGGCTTCCAACATTATACGGCGGTCCCGGGCCGATCCGGCGAAACCGGCAAAAAAACTCCCCCATATGCTGTACCAGTCCAGCGATCGGCACAATGTGCATGGCAAAAAAAGTAGCTCTGCTTGATTTCAGTTATTAAATATATACAGTAAATTATACACTACATCAATGGTGCTTAATATGGGGTGCATGCACCCCGGGGTGCGTGATGCCCTTTCTTAAAACTAAAGGTGTGCAGGCTGCAGTAAAGTTGAAGATTTCACTGCACTACATACACCTTAATGAAAATACTGTACGTGTAAAGTATACATCACTGCCTGCAGAGCCTGCGATATTGGAGTGGTAAGTATGGTACAGTAAATACAGCAACTATTTACAGGATATTGTTTCGTCTGTTTATGCCAATACAGTGGTACCTCGAACGCCCCAGAACTCGAACAATTCGGTGATCGAACACAATTTTAGAACATTTTTTTGCCCCGGACATCGAACAAAAATTCGGAGGTCGAACAACTGGAAAAACCTGTTTGGGCCGAGACGCGATGATAGGGCGACCGAGACAAAGGCGAATGACCCAGTTTACGGCGTAGCTCTCGTCCTTTATCACTAAAGTTCCTGCCTCCTAAAACGACTCCTCTCATCCAGCCCATGGACCAACAGGTAATTTCCAACTTTCAAAAACTCTACACGAAAGCCCTTTTTCAAAGGTGGCAAAATGGGCTGAATTACACAATTTTGTAGAAAAATATCCAGATAAGGCAGTAGCCAGCAGAGCAGGCGATTTTTTTAAATGATAATGCATTGAGTAATTTCAGAAACATCTTAAAACGGAGGCAGAAACAATCCTCTCTTGATCAGTTTTTAGTAAAAAGGCCCTCAAGTGAATCGCAGTTCGTGCTCGACAAAAGGCAAAGAAAGAATCCCAGAAGGGCAGTTCCCCAACTTGTTTATGGAGGGGGACTTCCCTTCCAAGCAACACTGACACCTCCTCCTCCCCTCCTCACCACCTTCCACTCAAGCCATCCATTCTCCTTACTACAGGTAAAGTGAAGTTCAATGTTCATTTATTATATTAATTATAACTGTGTTTCCTGTTTTTTTGTATGCTTTTATGTACTGCACTGTATTTTAATATTGTAAACTTTGTGTAAAAATGGCCCATAATAGGAGCATCCTTGGGTGGGGAACCAATTAATGCGATTTCCATTCACTCTTATGGGGAAAATTGATTCGGTGTTCGAACAATTCGGTGTCCGAACACGGTTTTTGAACGAATTAAGTTCGATCTCCGAGGTACCACTGTACTCTTATATAAGCGCACGACTTTATCTGTGATGAACGCTGCACTTTCCGTAGTTTTCACGTAGGGGGCGCTGCAAAACCTACACGCGCCCCCTGCATGAACGACGGAGGCAGCAGGGACAGACGTTCGATCACGTTGGAATCGATCGGCAGACGGCCGTCTTCTCGCACGGCCAGCAGCTCGATGTCGCCTTATCTCGATCCCGCAATCCCCAAACGGGTGAAAGTCCGCATCGAACCGAACCCCCCCCCCCCCCGGCAAGGCCGTCTACTTAACGACGAGAGAAAATTCACGCGAAATGTCCTTTTCAATGAAGTCTTCCAGATGTAAAATTAGAAAAGCTTTTAATGAAGAAATACAATTATCTAATTCACAAAAATAATACAATTCAAAGATGTTTCACTTTAAAACTTCAAAACGGAGCATCGGGTGCCTGCGTCGTGCGCGTGCAATTTTTTTGTTGTGACTTTCCTGGCCGAAGGCCGTAAATGGTTGTGATGGGCGCCGCAGGAACCCCCGAACAAGCCCTAGTTTTATATAGCAAACAAATTGAAAACATATTGAAAACACTAAAAAACACTACACCTAAAAACATGTCGTAAAAGAATGTCCAGACATAAGCTATTTTAAATAATGATGTGATTATCCATCGTTTTTGAAAACCCGGCGCCCCTCCTCCCATCAAGCCGCTGGGTAATCGATTATCTGGGTTGGGCAAGAATCCAGAACATTTTAAACCGGGTCAAATCCTGATTATCTTCGAGATACCTGGCTAGACTTTCTGAATCCAGGACTGTTCTGGAAAAAAACTTGGGAGTTTCGGTTGCTTTTCGGAGTATGGATTTTTTTCATTTTCTCTAGTGACATTTTACGATTAAATTTATTTTATTTTTTTCACCTACGTGACTTTACCGAAAGAACCAAAGAATATGGACATTTTAAGAACCACGAGCGGAGATGAACGTTTTTTTACGTGGAAAAACCTAAACACAAAAGGGTACGGGGCAGAAAATTGTCGAGTGTTGTAAAAATCCGAATACAGTCTATTACAGCATCGTTACATGGAAGCTGGTTCGTAAGTGCTGGTGTTCGTAAGTGCGGGTGGTGTTCGTAAGTGCGGGCGGTGTTCGTAAGTGCGGGCGGTGTTCGTAAGTGTGGGCGGTGTTCGTAAGTAGAGGACTGTACTACAGCATTGTGCACGGAATGACGCGTTTCCGGCCGATGTCGATTTTCAATCGTTCAACCTCACGGCAGCCATCTTACTAAGGGAAGGAGGGGCGGGGCGGCGTTACGTTCCGAGTGCTGCCCACTTTCTTACGTTAAGACCGAAGCGGAAGGATTTCGCCGCAACCCTGGCTGTCCGCCTGATGATGTCTGCTGTAATTACTGGCGAAACGTCGTACTCGAATTGTAAATGTCGTGGAGTTTACTCTCCAACACACCGGGTGTGTGTGCTTAAAAAAACAGCAGCGAATCGGCACGTTTTTAGTACGCGTCAAACCTGACTAATTGCCCGCGTGGTCGGGTGGTGTGGCGGGTTTAACGACACATTAATATTTTCGCGATATAACCCCAAACGCAACCTCCGTGTTATGGACACGTTAACCCGACCCTCGTGTAAGATGGCCGACGATCTCATCGCGAGGTGACGTCATCACAGGGTGACGTCATCTCGTCGACACGTCGTGAGTGACGTCACCGCGTAAACAAACAATGGCGGCGGCCGATGATCCTGTGGCCGTGTGAGTGTCACCGCCGGCAAAACTTTTCACTTCCCGGCGAATTTCACCTCAGAGGAGGATTTTTTTTGTTGTTCTTCTTCACCACCCCCCTTCGTCGATCGCTTTCTCGGCGCGACGAAGAAGCTCGTTCGGTCTCCCCCGCCCGTCGTTCGTCTTGATGATTTTTTTTGATGGTCGTTTTTTTGAGCTGTCTGACGGGACTCAAAGCGCGATTATTTCAAGGTATGCACTACCACCACTATCACCACCACTCCCCGCCAGCTTTGGGCCTTATTACACTACAGTTATACGATTCGACTTCATGTGTATTAATAATATATTGGGTTTTTTTAAATGGGAGTTTGATCGCGTAAATATATATGTGTCGTTAAACCCGCCACCACCCGACACAGCCAACTAGTAAGGTTTGTCACGGAAACAGAACGTGACAATTCGTTACTAGTACAGCAACACCGGTGTGTTGGAGAGCAAACCCACAACATTTACTATCTTGAGTACGACGTTTCGCCAGTAATTATGACGAGCATTATCAGGCGCACAGCCATATTTGGTCATCCAATGGTCCTTCTAATTGAAATTATCAGTGTTTTATATTGTAGTTATGCTCACGTGCAGATAAAGTACGTGTTTCTTGTCAGTAGTATATGCTTTTGTTGTTAATATGGCTATTTCGGTTTCCTATGCTTTTGCCATATGTACAATATCGTCAATCGCATTGCAACCTGAAAACAAAGTGCTTGTATGTAATGGGCGACGTTTCTGGCAATGGTCCTTCAGTGGTGTCTGGTGGTGAACGGAGGTGAGCGCATGACGATTGAGTGTAGGAAGTGTGTATATGTTATTTTTTTGTGTGAAGTGGTTTGTACAGAGGGGTTTCTATTTGGAATCTGCCTGTGACCAATTCAACCCTGAATGCTAAGCGGTTTGAGCCTGGATCGCGCCTGGTTAGAACTCCGTTCATAACAGGTGGCATAGGCGGCTGCGGGGCTACGTGGTGATTAAACTAAACTTTTATTTTACTTGACTAGGTAAAGCCCCATTGAGCTATATAGCGACCTGGCCATCACAAATGATAGCTCAACGAAGTGGGCTTATCACGTGGACATTTATGGCAGCAGCCAAATACTCCTGCATTTAACAATGCGATACATGTCCCACTGATAGTGGTTATGTACATATGTTGAACTCTTTCGCACCGTACGTAGCTAACCGTGCTAATCGGAGGTGCGGGGGGGGGGACCCCAATATATCACGAGACAAATACTCGTTCCATCTTCTGTAATAATACAACTATAAACTATTTTTTATTTTACCAGGTAAGGCCCACTGAGCTTTGTAGATCTTTTTCAGAAGCGACCTGGCCACAAATGATAGCTCAACGGATTGGGCTTATCGCGTGGAAATGCATAGCAGCCAAATACTCCAAAACGCGTGGTGATGTTGATTCTAAATGTGGAGGGAAAACCCGAGGGATCCGTAGAAAAATCCACTTGACCACGGGGAGAGAGAGAGAGACACGCAAACTCCAAATATACAGCAGGCGTCAGGGTCGTCGGGATCGAACCCACGAGCTCTTTGTATAATAGGCGAGGTAGTTAACATCTCGCCAGCAGAGGGCAGCTTGGTGAAGTATGGTAAAATGACCTCACCCACCAGTGGTTTTACAAAATGCTGTGTGCATGGACCGTGAGGTGCTTTTGTTTTAATAAATACATGTTTTTTTTTATCAGTTACTGTCGATATGTGTCACTCCCTACTATAACATAAGTTCGGTAGCGTTGGCGTGTTTATTACTCCTGTTGTTTTACCAAGAAACTCCAAGCACTGTCATCAATGTTGTTACATTCTTCACCATGATTACCTCGTTATCTTTACCATAATCCTATACCGCATCATCATCGTCGTCGTCGTCGTCGTCATCATCATCATCGTCGTCATCATCATCACATCCTTAGCATTATGATCAAATAAAATTCTTAACACAGTCACAATATTCATTTGCACAGTATACTCAAACAACCACATTCGTTGTCACGTAAACATGATCATTGGCATCACTGTTATCGTTAATTTTGTATTCATTACCACATTAATAATTACCACATGGTCAGCAACATGACGATCATTATTATCACTATCGTAATATCCTTCATCACTGTAACGACCAGCATCATCATCGTCTGTTCTAACTTTGTTTTCCCAGTTGTAGGTAATGACTGACACTGGGGAATATCACCATCATCATCATTGTCATCATCACAATAATTAGTAACATCATCAACAGCAGAAAAACATCCTTTCCACCTTCATGCTCATTACTGTCAACCATCATCATCCCCTTTTCACGAATTCATTACTACATATTTCTGCGGAGGGAGCTGGTAGGAACGTTGGGTTGCTCGGTCAATGGCTAGGGTCAACAACGGCACCACGTGGTGTATTCCACAAATATGCCCGACTGAGGGCGGGCACAAGCCGGCGTGAGTAGGTTAAACGTTGAGTTTTATAAGGGCACCACGGGGTGACCAGCCCCTCCCCACCCAGCCCCACCCCTCCCACCCCCCACCCAGCCCCACCCTCGCCACCCAGCCCCTCCCCACCCTTCCCTCCCCACCCAGCCCCTCCCCACCCTCCCCTCCCCTCCCCACCCAGCCCCACCCTCCCCATCCAGCCCCTCCCTCCCCACCCATCCCGTTCCCTCCCTCCCCTCTCCACCCAGCCCCACCCCTCCCATTTTTGGAGGGACGACGGACGGACACAATAATCCCCTGTGGGCTGGTGTAACCAGGAGGTTCCTACCAGTAAAAGTTTACCATTCACATGCTCATCACTACCACTGTCACATCACACTTATGCTGTTTGTAAATCGTCACCACCGTCGTCATCTTCATCATCCCCACAATTACCACCACCATTAATCATCAGCATTATCATCCGTATAATTACCATAATCAACATCATAACCATCACCTCCCATCACAATCACCATTATATTCATCATCGGGCTTTGCGTTTGTTTCCCTAGTTCTCGGAGGTGACTGACACACAGCGAGGAATGCCTTGCGCGCTGCAAAGATCGGGGCGACCCCTGCTCTATGCTTGGGGTCTCGGGGCCACCGCGGTGAACACTGGTAAATTAATCCAATCAAATTATCCACCCAAACTGTCCACCAATTAAAATCATTTTCTCCTATCTTTTCGGGTTCTGATTTATACGTAGATGAATTAACATGGGATATGTTTTTTTTATCACCAAAATAATACAGTATATCATGTAGGTGCGTAAAACAGTGGGATTTCTGGACGGGTGCTTTCCAGAAGAGTTTCTGTAATCAAGGCAAACGTTTATCTTATCTGAATCTCATCGCCAGGGTGTGGGCTCCACTTAATGGCTTTAACATTCTTGCAGTAATTGCTGAACATATTTTATGGGGCCCACACATTATTATTTTTTTAACGGGCCCCAGCCTGTTTATAAAGTTCAGATGAGATAGACTGGTCCACAGTTTGCCTTTTTTAAACAAATGATGTGCAAACTCAGTGTTTGTGGAGGTCTATTGGTCAACAGGAAAAACATTATTCTATGTTGGCATTGAAAGTCATTCCATCCCTGTCGACGATTTGTTCAGTCAGTCAAAGAGTCCTCGTGAATGTGAGACACCCACCTAAAGCGTAGTGATGTGCCTGCAGTAGGCAGTACAGCAAGTATGTTTCTAGCAGGACATCTGTATAGTGGAATTTTTTTAGTGTTTTAATGTGTGGGTTTTCTCGTAGTATTTTTCGTTTCCTCCTATACACACCATATAGCTATAAACACCAAGCAGGGCCCTCCTGAATATACATCTATGTTATTTAAAAAGTAATAATTGTATTGTCAATTAAAATAAGCCTTATTTTTGCACAATAACATTTGCAGAGTCTGATTGCACTCCTATAGCTAGGGAATGTAAAAGTTTACGAGTTTTGAATGCTAATTTAATTGTCCACCCGGGCTTATATGAGAAAATGAACAAAATATTGGGCCAATTAATCTGTTATGTAATAGAATTACAAACGCAAGGCAGACACATGGGACATGTCTTAGAAACGGGCCCTTTTGTGTATTGAGCCAATTTGCCATGAAAGCACATTTACACTCTGTTGAACATCAAACGCAAACCATACAGACATCCACTGGCAGTCGGCTGTGTTGAATCAGCTGAGGTCTTCATGTGTTGCCACTATTAAGTTTTTTATGTATATAAATAAGACCTGGAATCACTGCACAAAGTACGGAAAACGAGGTGAAAGCAATGCAGTACTAAATAAATCAAATCGTCAACGTCAAAGAGGAGCCTCCATTGTTAAAAAGGGCATTGGGCTGTGTGAAGATTTTTCTTGGCGACCCTGAGCCAGTGGTGGAAATTCCACATTGCTGTGTCAGTGTCCTAGTTTATTTAGAGGAGCGTCATGGTTGACATCCGACACTACGTGACTTTACCGAATAGAACCAAAGAGTATGGATCCTTGCAGTCACGAAAGCTTCAAATCTAGAATCCGACAGAGTGTTGCTGTAAAATGTTATTGCCCCTATGAGAATACTGATGATGGGACCAACCCCGACTGGGTTTCGAACGTGAGAGCTCCAATTGCGAGTTGAGCTGAAAAGAACTAAACACTTGTTAATATGCCGTTAAAGTATGAAAAATAATAGGGTTTACCCTTTCTGGCAATAAAATAGGTGTTACGATGTTCAAACACCAACTAGAAACCTTTTTTAAGGAATCAAGTTTGCATTAACCACACACGTACTTGTGGTGAACATGCAATAAAACATGCTCTGATAAATATGCATTGTCTTTAAAACTGATTGGCCTACACCAGAGACAGCCTTCTTTAGGGGCTAGTCTAACCAGTGTCAGAGCAGAGAACGCCAAAAGAGCGAACGCTGGTAGACGAGACCCTGAATAAGGCTGTCTCTGGTGTAGGCCAATCAGTTTTAAAGACAATGCCATATATTACCAGAGCGTGTTTGCATGTTCTACACAAGTACGTGTGGTTAATGTGAATTTGATTCCTTGCAAAAGGTTTTTGGTTGGTGTTTGAACATCTTAACATCTATTTTTGGTTATTTCGGTAAAGTCACGTAGAAGGGAAATAATAAAATAATACAAATAAAACAATACAATTCTCACGACGTTTCGATTGCAACACAAGCAATCATCATCAGGTGTAAAAAAACACAGCAAGAAAATTTGAAAATAGTGGCGTTTTTTTCTTAACGTTAGCACCACGTCGTGATAATTTTATTGTTTTATTTGTATTTTATTATTTCCCTTCTACGTGACTTTACCGAAAGAACCAATAATATGAATCCCTGCAGTCACGAAAGCTTTACATCGAAATCTTAACACCTGTTTTATTGCTAGAAAGGTAAAACCTATTCTTATTTTTTCATACTTTGATACTGGCGAAAAGGTCCCGTGTTGTCATTAATGAAAGAAAACATATGCTTGTCACATAATTTTTTTCAGTTCAATAATTCCGATTACCATAGAACCTACAAAATAGATTTTGTTGAGAAACCTTTTATTCCATATGTAAATTTTCTTACATTCAATTAGTGTTTTATCTATACACTATCATAAAAACCTGGTGAGCCGGACACTAGCTATCTTGATTTCACATTTGGCTGAACAAGATCGTCTAATGAATAAACAAAAAATCCATGCATTTTAAATGCAATAATCTATTGTACATGTTATAAAGTAATGCACATACTGAATACTTTAGAGTACATTCTGTAATACATCATATGAAATTTGTTAAATATTTAGCTAAAGTGTAAACAATGCATTAATACACTCGCGGTGGGGGAGGGGCGATGTATGCCCTCCAGAATATCAACACAGAACTCGTTCATGTTTAATTGTGTGGTTGTGTTGTTGCTGGTGGTAAAATGAGTGATACAACACAGTGAGTGCCGTGAGTTTAATCATCTTTGCTGGTCACCAATGCACAAAACAACTGTAATATTGTATTTGGTTCTGCACTTAAATTGGGGAACAGGAATGAGAATTACAATTATTTTCAGCTGTCATGTGACAAACATCACCGTCATATGGTTGGGCAGATGACAAAGTGCTGTCCTTTGCTCTCTGAACCAGGTCATTTGGAGGGATATCAGACAGTGCTGTAATATCTACTTAAATGGGCCGTTTTCTAACAAAGAATTGGATTGCTCTGAAATAGATCCAAAGGGATGCTTATATCATGACACCGATGGCAATAAAAGTCTACATTGGGGAGGGTGTGGGAAGTAACAATCAAATAAGTAAAAATGTGTATCATCATGTTTTTTCCAGGATAACACTGCAGTTGTCACATCTGGTGTGTTTCCCCCCTCCCTTGCTTTGGAACAGGAGGCCGAGCGCGTGTAGCGTTCGCGGGCTGCTCCCTGTGGCCCTGCCCTTTCCCCAAGCAGCTATGGCCGCTCCTGCGGCTTCCGACAAGGGCCCTTTCCTTCTCCCCCTCTGTCTCCAGGGCCAAGGAGCCTCCCTCTCACCCACCTCGTTCCCCGCCGCCCTCCAAGCAGCAGGGAGGGCCCACGGGCGGCAAGGTGGGCGTGGGGCGAGCCGCTCGCATCATCACCCTCTCCCACGTTTTCACAGCACCCAACGATACTTTAAAACAAAAAAACACTTCCCTAAATTTGTATCCTGAATGCGCTTTCACCATCGTGCCACGCGACGAAGAATCCGTTTGGATTTCTCACAGAGCACTGCAGCCCTTGAGAAATGGCTCATGGAAGTGGATACCACAGAGCTACCTCTGATATATCCTTCTGCTCAGCATAGCTCTAAATAAATCAAATATGCAGTGTTTATAGTTGGAAATATTAAGTGCTTATGTCATTTTTTGTGAAATAAAACAAATTCTCGTGCTGCCCACGTATTTGCACGGGATACACAGCCTGGGGTGGTGGGTGGGTGGCTGGGTGGTGGGGAGGGGAGGGGAGGCGCGATGCAAGAACCCGGCTCAACGCTGTGGGATGCGGGTGACGTCATCACCCTGCACTTGCTTGCCCGCACAACAACCAGCCAGCAAAACTAAAAAAAGAATCAAACATAGTACAGGCAATCCTCGGTTTACGCGCTTTTGTGGTCCACCTTTTAGGAATAACGCGCGCTTTGTATTTAGACCTTTTATTGACATACGCGAGGCAATTTTCGGCATAACGCCATCCCACAACACGGCGTAGGCAGCCCTCCCCTGGCACCGCGACCCAATGGTGTTGCCAGCAGCCAGTGCAGTACGATAGCAAGTGTGCTGCACCGTACAGCATCTCGCCGCGTGTACACCGGCCCTCTTCCCTTCGTCTCCACAACGCAACTCCGGCGTAGTTACAAGTAATTTATAACGTATTTATTTTATTCGGTAGTGTATTCCACTTGAAATGAGTTTCTTTTTAATTTAAAAGTATTGCATGTACATTTATTGTATTGATATAGCCTAGGATTATATAGGCGACTATGTGTGCGATAGTGAATTAATTCACCGAACCTCCTCCCTTACCATAATTTCTTATGGGAAAATTGCTTTTGACATCCGCGATTTTGGGATACGTCCGATTTTCCGGGAACGCATCGATCGCGTATGTGAAGGGGTGCCTGTATGATAGAATGACAATGTCAAAATGTTCAAACATTATTGTGTACAGTAAAAATATAATTCTGCACGTGTAATTGAGACCATCTATTAAGATTCTTACCTTGTTTGCTAGTGTACGATGGAGTGCAGTCTGTGAATGCTAGGTGTTATTTGTAACTTGTTAGTTGGGGTATGTTTGTTGCTAAGGTTACGAGGTGTGATTTTCTTTCAAATGGGTATAGTAGGTCGTTTAAAAGCAAGCTTTGATTTCTGTGCAATTACATTTTTTCTTGTTAATGTGAATCTGAATTTGTAGTTAATTTCTTTAACGTTGACGGTCACTATGGCTACAAGGGAACCAATCACAGAAGCGACTTTTGCCTAAAATTTCATTTCCCCTTTTATCTATGTGAACAACCCAAATTTGGGTGCGCGTTGAATTTTTGAGGTCCAATTTTGAAAATGTGACTTTTCTTTTCATCCAAGTAAAATAAAAATATCTTGTTCTTTTTGTGACATGGTATTAGAACACGGGAGTGCGGGGCAGCAGTGCCAGTGTTTTTCTTGAAGCACTATGAACCCGGTAACCTCAGTTTGATTTCCGTTCCACAGCCAACCGACGTCAGTGGCATATTATATCTGAACTGTGTCTTGGCACTCCCCTTCCGCACTGATCAGCGTGGTAAAGTATGGTCAAACATCCCCCATGACCAACACGGCTTGTGGAGACAAAGGGCTGAATATTCTTATGAACAATAATACAACGTTTTACTGGCAAATTTCGATGGCTTTTTAATGTAAGTGGCATTGTAAAGGCTCATGTTGGAAATGTGTACAGTCTTGTTTAATCAAGCATTTGACTTCTTCAAAATGCAATTAAGCTGAGCCCTTAATGAAATGTAACCGACTTGTAATGGGTGTGCATAGTGGAGTGCCGAGATTAAATCTGGTAAACATCTCGCTGATGTGTTTGCACAGCTCATATTAAGCACCTTTTGGCCTCAGTACAAATTGATCATTAAAGATACTTTTTTTCCCATTCCTTTGTCAGCCTGAGCAACCTACGCAAAATGTGGTTTCTGTTTTCATGAACATGACTGTTGTGCCGTAATACTTGCAAAGTATGCACAGTTGCATTTTCGTTCACACATCTTCTTGATCAAGCGAGCCATCGGAGGTGCTCACATGACTCTGGGCCCAGTAGGAGTCATGTCGAATGCCCATCGCCGGCTCGTGGCCATCAAACGAGATGCCCTGTGCCCTTTTTGAGCTTGGAGATGCTCTGAAGAGTAGATGTAAAATGACCAGGCTGACGAAGTGTTTTTTTCCGTGCGTTTATGCAGAAGTCTGCATCGGAGGGAGGAGGCAAAAAAGGCTCAGCCTCAGGATCAAAGGCAGGGTCAGGGCTCGGTGCAGGGCTGGGGGCAGGGCTGGGGGCAGGGCAAGGCTCCGGCTCTGGAAAGGGTGATGGGGAGCAACCTCGCTGTCCTAAATGCGGGGATCCCTGCACCCTCGTGGAAACTTTTGTGTGTGAGTTTTATTATACGCCTTGGTTGCACTCCACTAATTCATCCGTCCATTGATTTATTCTGTCGTCATGTAGACTTACACAAGCACGTGTATGCACAGAGATGAGCTATGGCCCCATTGGTTAGAGCAACAAGACTTGCAGTTATAATATTATGGGTGTAGGCAAAATGAGGTCAAATGAGCCCAATTATAATTAGTTAGCAGCATCATGCAGCAAAATTATTACGACCACAAACACCATTTCAATCACCATAATCACCACCACCATTATCATCACCAGCTCATTTGGTTGAGCGGCAGAGCTATATATGAAATGTGTGTGTGTCACCATTTTATAAAAATAAAATGTGTAAAATTACTAAGCGGACTGCAGTATTAACTTGCATAATGATGTGCCTATCAAGATTTATATAAAAAATGCTATTCCCGTAAAAGATATCCCTGTTTCATCCACTGCTGGTGTAATGCCATGATGACACATGTCCACCCATGTGATCACTTTAAGCCAACGTAAAAAAAGCACCCAATTCTAAATGTTGTTGTACAAACGTGCATGCGTTTTGCCAGTCATCTCAGTCAGTTAACCCCTGGCACCTGGGTTTGTTCCGTGACCTCTTGCCAGCGGGTCTTCGACACTTCACGTGGCCTCAAGAGTGCACCGAGCATGGCACAATTGCCGTCGTGACGTCACCGCCACTTAGTGGCGAACGGCGGTTGTTTATGCATTTCGCTGACTGCAAAACAATTTTTTTTCCCGATATGTCGTTGTTAAACCGACCAACTTGCTCGTCAAAAGTTGTTGCGAGCGACATCATTGATGCAGGGCCGCCTCGGTTTACTCCGCCTTTTCGTTCCCGTCTCCCGCGCGTCGCTATCGCCCGCCGGCGCGCGTGTGAAAAGCAGCGTCGGCACGCTTCGTCAAGTGCGAGAAGTGCCAGCACTTCTATTTGGTACTCACCGATCCCGATTGGAGGCGAGGGCTAAAGGCGTCCGACGAGGAGGAGGAGGCTCCACGATTCTCCTACACACAGCGCCCACCACCCCCGCCCAAGAAGGTGAACCTTCTGAACGTTTCTGTTGTTGTCCAGTGTCGTGCTATTGGATGGCGATGACTCGGATAGAGCTTCATCCAGCAGTGGAAGTCATGGCTCATTATGATGATGATGATGATCAATTGAACAAGACTTAGAGGTTGTTAATTATCACTTTGAGTGAGGTGGCATGGTGGCTTGGGGGGGGGGGATAATATATTGGTAGAGGACAGAGCTGGTGCCATTGAGATGCTCACAATTAAGCCACAGATTGGTTACCGATAACAACACACAAATACCCAGGATATTTTACGAGTTAGCTTATGTTGGCTTTTTTATAGTTCTGAAATATTTGGTTCGTTGACATGTGCTGAACAATATTCGCTGAGCAATATATAATAAAGAGGTCCTTGATGAAAAATAACAGCATTAACATTAAGTCAAAATATAAAAATGCCCACAAAACACGTGACCAAACACGCCACGTAAATGTAATAGTTCCCATCGCATGACCAAAATCCAAAATCTAGACTAATCACTATATTCAAGACACAGCGCTTGTTAAAATCAATTCACTATTATACAATCCTGTTCCTTGTTGAAATAAACAGGATCACAATGGCCATCCCAATCGAATATAACAAAAACCCAAAGAATATACACAAAAGGGGAGGAGATTCAAAATGTAAAGAAAATGATATTGCATTAAGCAATTTTGTTTCTGTTTGTAATCTCTGTCATCGTGCTTGAAAATGATATGTTCCAGCCAGGAGAAAAACGTGGTCTTCTCTAAGGGCCTCGATAAGTATTTCAACTTCCAGAGCAAACTTTCTGAAAAAATTATCGAATGTATGTATGCTGAACTTCTTTCTCACCATATGTAGTCAACCACGCTCATCCGAGGTGTGATGGAAGGACAAACTAAACAAAAAAAGCACCTTATGATGTCTTAGCTCGCGGCAAGATGGAAATGTCCGTGTCTCGCAACACGAATATGCGTCTTGTTTTAAAGGGTGACAAACAAAAAGATCACCGAATATCGCCGACATTACCTCCCCGCATCTCGCCACAGATCAGCGAGTTTCTGGACCTACACGTCGTTGGTCAGCAGCACGCGAAGAAGGTCCTGTCGGTGGCTGTGTACAACCACTACAAGCGCGTGCACAGCAACCTGTGCTCAGTCTCGCAGCAGAAGCAGAAGCAGCAGGATGAGGCTAGCCCAGCTGAGATACAGCCGGTGCTACCCCCACGTGGTGAGACCTTTTTGCTGAGATTTGACATCCCATGGTGGATTAAGGCGGGCTGACAAGGCGTGACGTACTTGGGGGACGTTACTTTGTTTGTGTCTTATATTATGCAGCTCTTGGGTATTGGTTAGTTTGAAGGATGAGCCATGTTTGAGTTTTTAATTGGTGTAGATTTGTATGGGCACGTGTTGGTTTGCTCATCAACTAGCACTCGCTGCCCGAGTCGTATGCTCCATAATTAAGTGACTGGCTGACTGACTTCTCTGAGCTATCTATGTGCAACTGCATGCATTTGTTAGCCCATCTCTCGCTTACTCACTAAGTAACTGACCTACGCACTCATTTACCCAGATTCATTCACTCGCTCACCCACCAGCTTATCCTAACCGCTGACATCCACCACTGATTGAATGATTGACTATCACCCGCCCAACAACTTGTTCACTCGCCCAACGCCTCGCTCATTCACTTACTCGCTCATCAACTCACACTTCGAGTCACTTCTCTACACCTCCCGGTGGGAAGGTGAAGCACCACTAGGAGTGTGGATGAGAGGCCCACTTAAAGAGACCTCAGAAGTGGGTACGTGTCATCTCCTTTCATGGGCCATTCTCTTAATATGAGGTGATGATGCACTACTCGGAGAGTTCTGAATGGATGCTTCATTCATGGACATGATGATGATAGCACAATTGGAAAGTTTTGAAATATACAAAATAAAAAACACGGTAGTGATGGAAAATATTGTGAGCCCGAGTTAAATATAACTTGACCAGCATATTGCTGCTTATGGAATAAGGCTTAAGGAGTGATGCTCATGCCTATGAAGTTAAACATATTTGACTGGATAGGACTCGATGTTTCACAATTAAATTGCCTATGATCGTTTTATTTCTCATCATTTAGGATTCCCTGCGACACGTGTTTTAGATGAAACCACAACGTTTGCGAAGAATTTGTAATTCACTTAACACAACTGATTTGGATACCGCATCTGGGCCAGTGCAGTTTGATTTATGCCTTGGTCCAGTCATTAGTTGAAGATTGATGGGTCCATGTAGACCTCCTAGATTTGTTTATACCGGGGGTTATTTTCCTCTAGCTATTGATATTCTTGTTGTTGATGAACCCTGTGTTTATTTGCTGATGCTAGTTTTTTGGTTCTACATCCCCATGTCTTCCTGCTTACTTGACAATCCCTTGCCTTTTTTTTTGCAGAAGTAGAAACTGGAAGGCAGGCAGATTTTTACAAGCTAACAAGTACGTTGACTTGATTTCAGCATTCACTCACCTTAAATATCCTGGTACAAATTACACGTGTACAGTATTAGTGAGTGCCAGTCTGTTCAAAAGAAAAGCACAAATTGGGGTTCATTTTATCGACATTGGCTGGATCGACTTCCGGCAGGCGATTCAAACTTGCCACCCTGGTTGAGAGTCAATTGGAATACGTCCCAATCTCATCAGCTCTGGGAAGCTAAGCAGGTTGAGACGTGTCAGTGCTTGGATGAAGGACCACCATGCATAACAAAACAACAGGCTGCAGAGATGTATTGTGGACAGCAGGGGATAGTGCAGAAACATTCCACATTTCTATGATTCCACATCTATGCTGCAACCCACAATGACCAACATCGTGAACTGTGGTCAAATAACCCCCACGATCCACGCAGCATGGGGATGCCCTCATCCAGCAGTGGATTGACAAAGCAGTCGTACATGACACACACACGCCCCAAAGCATAACCGTCCGTCTTGGCTACCTAATAAATGTCGGCATCTCGTTTACCCACCCTCCACGTGGTCAATGCTCCGCTGCGGTACGCCGTGATGCCAACCAACCGCCCTTGCCTTCGCAGAGCTGCTGGAGATGACGGGGAGCCAGAAAGTTGCGTCCTCGCCACCGACGATGGGGGGAGCCGCAGGGACGGTGCGCCGGGCGAGCGAGGCCCTGGACCGAGCCAGCGCTGCCGGGATTCACCTCGACAAGAGCAACATCCTCCTGATTGGCCCTACGGGCTGTGGTAAGGGGGCACGTGTGTATGTGTGTGTGCGGTGTATGTGGTGTGGTGTTGGTGGCCACCCACCCCCTCGTGTGCCGTGCCGGCATTCGTAGGTGCACGTTAACAGCACTTGCCCCCAAAAGTCTATTAAGGCTATACGGGAGATCGTCTTTGTATGGATACGTACACGGTAGTACAGCGGTTAGCGTGCTGCACTCAATAACCTGGTGACCCGAGTTGGATTCCTGCTCACGGCCAACAGTAATGACGATTATTTGAACCCGTCCTGGGCCACCCCTAGGTTAACTCAGCCTCAAATGAGTACCTGGTGCGGTGTGTAAACATCGCCACTTAGTGTGACAAAGGCGGGTGAGCGTGGTGCTGGCCACCCACCCCCTCGTGTGCCGTGCCTACCTTCATAGGTGCTCGAGAACAGCACTTGCCCCAACAGTCTGTTAAGGCTGTGAAAAAGAGCTTTATAGCTCATCAGATTCCTCTAGTATTAATAAATATTCTGATACTGTTTGTTCAGGCTATACACAGGCAGGTTTTGTTTGGCCTCATAGAGGGTTCTAAATGGATTTGGCAAGGACTAGAGAGGAGATGGGCTGCATGATGCAGGAGGACATGGAGATGTGTAGGCTTGCCCTATGACTGCTGCCACCGGTGTCAAGGTCAGACTTTTTGGAGCAGGCTCTTGAAAGACCCTTCTGGGCAGTCGGAAAAGTCGCTGTCCAGCAATAACGGAGTGCAGAGGAGCGACGCTCACAATGACGGGCAGAGCGCCAGATGGATATATAAATGCAGCAAGGTGGCACAGTAGGGGGCACAGGTGGTGCATCTGTCAGTCATCTCAGTAATTTCCACTTGGCATCGTGCCCCCAAACAGAGATGATTGTCGGTCCAGTGCAGCAGGAATGCACTCTGACTGTTTGACGTACTGAGAGAGATACACCCAGCTCCAGGGCTTTAACCCAGATTGCCGGCAGTGCCGTTGTGATCACCTGAGAGAGACCCCAGCACCGGGGCTTGAGTTCAAGTCGCAATAGTGTCAGCTCAGCGTCTTTCATTTATCCATTATGAGCACTCGTAGGAATGTACACTCAGCTCGAGCTCATCTTAAATCCAGAGTATCTGTAACACAGCCTTGGTGCCTTTATGACACAGCCATGCGCTCTTAACAGGCGAGCGTTTCTGTCGGCAGGCAAGACGCTGTTGGCTCAAACGCTGGCGCGCTGCCTGGACGTGCCGTTTGCCGTCTGCGACTGCACGGGACTCACGCAGGCCGGCTACGTGGGCGAGGACGTCGAGTCCGTGGTGGCCAAGCTGCTGCAGGACGCGGAGTACAGCGTGGACCGCGCACAGCAGGGTGAGCGAGGCCTGGCCTGGAGCTTTCTGCTGATGGTTTTTATTTTTTATATATATAACAAAATGAAAGATTCAAAGAGGAAGAATAAAACAACCGTGCCAATGATAACAAGTCCCATGGCTTGTTTTGAAGAGGGTCCTCCTTGAGATGTTTGGCCAATATCCTTATCAAATCAAGCCCACGGTAGCAAGATGTTAACTAAGTTGGAAAGTTTTTTTCAGCATTCGCTCTGTTTTTCTGTGTGTCTATATTGGGCGGCATGGCGCGATAACTCAAGCAAAGATGGACCAATATAAATAATATCTTAGTGTAATGTTACGTTGCTATTAGAGTCTTATCTCAGAAAAAGACTGCCAAATTTATCAAATGGTTGCTCAAAGTTTGGCGATTAAACCATCTGTTTAAGGATTTGCCTTTTCGGCCAAGGTGGTGATGTCATACAGTGAGGGAAAAAAGTATTTGATCCCCTGCTGATTTTGTACGTTTGCCCACTGACAAAGAAATGATCAGTCTATAATTTTAATGGTTGGTTTATTTGAACAGTGAGAGACAGAATAACAACAAAAAAATCCAGAAAAACGCATGTTAAAAATGTTATAAATTGATTTGCATTTTAATGAGGGAAATAAGTATTTGGCCCCCTCTCAATCAGAAAGATTTCTGGCTCCCAGGTGTCTTTTATACAGGTAACGAGCTGAGATTAGGAGCACACTCTTAAAGGGAGTGCTCCTAATCTCAGCTTGTTACCTGTATAAAAGACACCTGTCCACAGAAGCAATCAATCAATCAGATTCCAAACTCTCCACCATGGCCAAGACCAAAGAGCTCTCCAAGGATGTCAGGGACAAGATTGTAGACCTACACAAGGCTGGAATGGGCTACAAGACCATTGCCAAGCAGCTTGGTGAGAAGGTGACAACAGTTGGTGCGATTATTCGCAAATGGAAGAAACACAAAAGAACTGTCAATCTCCCTCGGCCTGGGGCTCCATGTAAGATCTCACCTCGTGGAGTTGCAATGATCATGAGAACGGTGAGGAATCAGCCTAGAACTACACGGGAGGATCTTGTCAATGATCTCAAGGCAGCTGGGACCATAGTCACCAAGAAAACAATTGGTAACACACTACGCCATGAAAGACTGAAATCCTGCAGCGCTCGCAAGGTCCCCGTGCTCAAAAAAGCACATATACATGCCCGTCTGAAGTTTGCCAATGAACATCAATGATTCAGAGGACAACTGGGTGAAAGTGTTGTGGTCAGATGAGACCAAAATGGAGCTCTTTGGCATCAACTCAACTCGCCGTGTTTGGAGGAGGAGGAATGCTGCCTATGACCCCAAGAACACCCTCCCCACCGTCAAACATGGAGGTGGAAACATTATGCTTTGGGAGTGTTTTTTCTGCCAAGGGGACAGGACAACTTCACCGCATCAAAGGGACGATGCACGGGGCCATGTACCGTCAAATCTTGGGTGAAAACCTCCTTCCCTCAGCCAGGGCATTGACAATGGGTCGTGGATGGGTATTCCAGCATGACAATGACCAAAAACACATGGCCAAGGCAACAAAGCAGTGGCTCAAGAAGAAGCACATTAAGGTCCTGGAGTGGCCTGGCCAGTCTCCAGACCTTAATCCCATAGAAAATCTGTGGAGGGAGCTGAAGGTTCGAGTTGCCAAGCGTCAGCCTCGAAACCTTAATGACTTGGAGAAGATCTGCAAAGAGGAGTGGGACAAAATCCCTCCTGAGATGTGTGCAAACCTGGTGGCCAACTACAAGAAACGTCTGACCTCTGTGATTGCCAACAAGGGTTTTGCCACCCAAGTACTAAGTCATGTTTTGCAGAGGGGTCAAATACTTATTTCCCTCATTAAAATGCAAATCAATTTATAACATTTTTTACATGCGTTTTTCTGGATTTTGTTTTTGTTATTCTGTCTCTAACTGTTCAAATAAACCTACCATTAAAATTATAGACTGATAATTTCTTTGTCAGTGGGCAAACGTACAAAATCAGCAGGGGATCAAATACTTTTTTCCCTCACTGTATGTCATGCACGCCCCTCATGTATGGCAGTAATACAAGTGGTAATAATTCGTCCTTAAAAAAGTGAATAAAATAAATACCTTTCTAAGTAGTGTTAAGGAAATAATTATACCTGTTTTCTCTTAACAGCATCTGCATTCAAATTGTATTCTAAGGGGAGGGTGAGGTCAGGAGCTGTTTTTTTATATCACAAGTAGCTGATGATATCCGTGCCCAGGAATTGTACTCGGATGTCTGGGTTCATAGCTCGTTGCTTTGTATCCTCGTTAGAATCTGCACGTGATTCTGCAGTTCCACCAGGTGGCAGTAGTGCTCAGTGTAAGGGAGTCTCGTTTTTGAATGAGCAGTTGGGCATTGCTCATCTCTGTTGTGACCTTTAGCTGGTTGGCAGAAAAAAAATCCACATTGCGGGAGTCAGTAGGGATTTTTTTCATAGAGGAAAGGTTAAATAATGATTCTGTTATGTTGGCAGCAGAGGTTTGTGTAGATATTTTCTTTTCTTACGTTACTATGTTCCCGCGACTGCTTCTCGCCTCCACCACACTGCACTAAACCGGCGTGAAGTATGGTAAAATAATGCCCGCAACCCGCACGGCATGGGGCGGCCCTCATCCAGCAGTGGATTAATAAAAAGGTTGTATGTGTACAATGTGCTGCGGTTACTATAGTGTGTTTAATCCTGTGATGTGTAACGTGTTATGCACTGCAGCACTGTAGTGTCCCTATTGGTGTGATTTTGAACTTGTGGTCTGGAGAGCGTGGTGTTTATTGCTATGGTTACAAGCTGGGAGCTTCTTGAAAAGTGAGTGCGGTCTTCATTTCCAAGGCAAAATGCTGCCATTGCTTGGCGAAATTGTGTTGGCTTGCGTCAATGCCCTGTATTAATGGCTGTATTTCTGGAAGCTTGACTGTCAAGCTCACGTGACTGAGCGGTCTGTGGGTGTTCCCGCTTCCCCTGTGCTAACACCCCTATATGAGTGTTGACATTTTTAAGTTGGACTTTCTTGTTAAACCTTGGCGAAAAAAATCTGCAGCCTCTTCACGGGATGATTGCTGTGGACTTCCTGTAAAGTGGTAGTGGTGCGCCACTGTGTTAATCTGATTAATTTGTTGAACCAAAACACTTAATTTCCTAAGAACAGGGCTGCGTTTCACACCGAGATAAGTGCATGATAATTATATGCCGTAATCTTGCAAATGTGCCCTTTAAAATTGACACGTTCACGATGTGTGAAATGCACAGAATTTTCCCTTGGAATAACAATTTAAGTTGTATTGTATTATATTTATAATCACCGCAACTGGTTTAATTTGTGTCACATCTAAATACAAGACATGCGCAGTAAGAAATATTGTGAAAATTTAAAATTTACATATAAAACGGCAATTACAACCATGATAACCAAGCAAGCCCCTGCCCAACCATAAACTTTGAAACATATATTCATTAAAATGAATATATGTTAAAAATGTTTAGTGTCTTAGCTACTAGCACTTACATTTATGCACTGTTTTAGCTCTGTAATTCCCACACTGAACTATTTTCACAGGCTTTACTTGTTTCTGATCCACAGGGAGACGTGGATATTGATATGACACATGGGTAAAAATCATGGACACAGTTAAAAGCGAAATGTCGTAAAGTGTATAAAGAAGTATGGGTGGGGGGGGGCGCATGCTTGGAACACATTTATTGGAGATCGTACATGAGTGTTTCACTGTTAAGAATAAATATTTCAGGACACATTATTAGCAAGGATAATCTAAACTAAACTTTTTATTTTATAAGTTAAGGCCCATTGAGATTTTTTGCTCTTTTTCAGAAGCGACCTGGCCACAAGTGATAGCTCAATGAAGTGGCTTGTCATGTATATACTCTAAACAATGTTGTTTCTAAATATGGAGGGAAAAACCAGAGGTCGCAGAGAAAAATCCACGCGACCACGGGGAGAAAGAGACAGGCAAACTCCAAATATACAGGCGTCAGGGTCGGGATTGAACCCACTACGTCCTGTATACCAGGCAAGGTAGTTAACATCTCACCACCATGGCGCTGATAGATTACTGAAGCATGTGTGAAACCTTAAATACGATGGTCGCCCTCCTTGCTATGAAGGGAAGGGAGGGGGCAAGGCCGACTGAGGTGGGGGGGAGGTCCTAGGTTCACAGAGCTGAAGTGTTGGGACCAGAAGTCACCTGTGTTAAGGTGTACCAGGAACATCCCAGCACAGCTTGGGTCTGATTTCTTTTAACTGTGGAAACACAGCAACAGGCCTGTGTATCCCGATCAATCGGGCTTATTGAGCCTGATATATTGCCTGGCGTTTATTTTAGTGCTAATGAATATTGATTTAATAACATAGAGACAGTATTTTAATCAAACAGCTGGATGGTTTATTGGGTTAGCAAGTGTGGCTGTGGGTTTAGGGTTTCACCTAAATTCAATTCCCTGATAATGTGATTGGCGTTCATTAGTAAATATTCCTGATGAATACTTATGAGTGTGGATCTATAAGTATATATGTGTAACAAAGATACAGATCCCCCGTGTAGCCTTAACATGTTGCAGGAGCAAGTGCTGTTCGCAAGTAGCTATGATGGCCGGCATAACACATTACCGCTCCCCACGTACGTAGTACGTGGGGAGCGGTAATGTAGTACGTGGGGAGCGGTAGTGTAGTGGTCAGCGCACTGGGCTATGAACCCCACAATCCGAGTTCAATTCCCGATCACGACAAACTTAAGCAGCAAATATCTAACCTGGTCCTGGGCCTCCCCTTGGATGGCTCAGCATTATATGAGTACAGTAAAACCTTGGATTGCGAGCATAATTCGTTTCCGGAAACATGTTTGTAGTCCAAAGCACTCGTATATCAGTTGTGATCACGTGACGCTCGGCAGACAAAGCGTATACGTACTACTCGTATTACAAGCCCTCGCTCGTTTATCAAATTAATATTTATTTAAAAATTTAGCTCGTCTTGCAAAACACTCGCAGACAAAGTTACTCGCAATCCCAAGATTTTACTGTACTTTGTACAGTGTGTGAACATCGTCACTGAGGAGCCAGGCTGCCGGGCGTGATGCTTACCGCACCATAGGTGTGTGTAGGATACACGGGGGATATTTGTCTTTGTCTTTTTGGTAGGTAAATGGCATCATTTTAAATGGAAGTGTCAATGCAGGGAGACTCCTAATCTCCAGGGCTGCAAGGCAGACAGAAGAACATGGTTGATGCTAGAAGAGAAATGAGGTTGCAAACACATCTGTGTGCAGTCTTTGACCCACCCCCGTATGTGTGGGGTGGGGTTTTTTTGCATCCTCCAGACTTCTTCTCCAAAAATATTTATTTAAGGAATTGGACAAATATACCCAGCAGGATCCTCCAGAATGATTGTCTTGAGACTCATTCAATGTTTTCTTGCTTAATGAAGAATTGTTATTATATCGATGAATATTGGGACATTACGGTGCATTAGCCAGATGCATGATACGCATCCAGGTTGGTGGTAAACTCAGCCTGTTATATCTCTCAGGTCAATTAAGTTAGTGTCAATGTTGAGAAGTTAACATATATTCTGTTATATAGCAATTGTCTGAAAACGAATTTATTTATGACTGATTTTTGTGTTTAGTTTGTTGTTCTTCCCCCACACCTCCAGTTAGCATGGTTGGCTGCGTACGGTGCGAAAGAAGTTCAACATAATACATATAACATACACACTATTATACACTACATTTCTATACACTACACTATATATTCCACTACTATACTAAATTGAAAACTAATTTCTTTAGAACTGCTTTTTGTGTGAAGTTTGTTGTTCTTCCCCCGTACCTCCGATTAGCATGGTTGGCTATGTATGGTGCAAAAGAAGTTCAACGTACATACGCATCCATACAACTGGCCGACACCATAGCAATGTGGATTTTCTACCACTGGCTCAGAGCCACCAGTGGAGAGGAGCGTTGCCCACACTCACTGGAGCAGGGAGACACGTGGACGGGTGAACGTACAATAACCATGTGGCCGTGGTGATGTGTCTGGAATTGTCATCAGGTATCGTCTTCTTGGATGAGGTTGACAAGATCGGGAGTGTGCCGGGCATTCACCAGCTGCGAGATGTGGGAGGAGAAGGTGTGCAACAGGTACGCTTGTGTGTGTGTTTGTGTGTGCGTGTGAGAGAGTATGTAGGTCGACTCAGCCTCAACTGAGTACTTGGTACGCTGTGTAAACATTGCCACCAGGGAAACAAAGGCAGCCGGGCGTGGTGCTGGCCTTCATAGGTGTTCGCTAACAGCACTTGCCCCAAAAGTCTGTTATGGCTATGCGAGGGGGTATTTGTGAATGAGAGAGTCAGCCATCTTAGTGATTTTGACCCCTTACGCTTGGCCCTGTCCCTTGATCTCTTGCCAGCAAGCGTTTGACACCTCACATGGCCTCAACGTACATTTAGCCGGGCACATTCGCTGTCGTGACATCACCGCCACTTTGTCGCGAATTGGCGGCTTTTGTTATTTTTGCAGGACAGTGCTAAAATAATTCCTTGATTAAATAGATTAACCACTAACAACACTTGCTCTGACAGTCTATGTAGGCTATATGGGGATTCTCTGTCTTCTCTTCGCGTGACTGTGTGTGTATGCATAGGTGTGTGTGCACATTGGTTTTTGTGTGTGTGCACATTGGTATTTGTGTACGTGCACCACATTGGTATTTGTGTGTGCACATTGGTATTTGTGTGTGTGCACATTGGTTTTTGTGTGTGTGCACATTGGTATTTGTGTGCGTGCACCACATTGGTATTTGTGTGTGTGCACATTGGTATTTGCGTGCGTGCACGTTGGTATTTGTGTGTGTGCACGTTGGTATTTGTGTGCGTGCACATTGGTATTTGTGTGCGTGCACGTTGGTATTTGTGTGTGTGTGCACATTGGTTTTTGTGTGTGTTCACATTGGTATTTGTGTGTGTGCACTACATTGGTATTTGTGTGCGTGCACCACATTGGTATTTGTGTGTGTGCACATTGGTATTTGCGTGCGTGCACGTTGGTATTTGTGTGTGTGCACGTTGGTATTTGTGTGCGTGCACATTGGTATTTGTGTGCGTGCACGTTGGTATGTGTGTGCAGGTTGGTATTTGTGTGCGTGCACGTTGGTATTTGCGTGCGTGCACGTTGGTATTTGTGTGCGTGCACGTTGGTATTTGCGTGCGTGCACGTTGGTATGTGTGTGCAGGTTGGTATTTGTGTGCGTGCACATTGGTATTTGTGTGCGTGCACAGTGGTATTTGTAAGTGTGTGAATGCACGCTTGAATCTCCGCTCATCTTCACGTCTTATTTTTTCATCGCCAATAGCCAGGTGGTGATGGTGGCCATAATGGCCACAGTCTCGCATGTTGGGAGCCTGAACAGTACATCATAGTCTCTGCAGGAGCCACCCACCTTGCTTCTAAAGTGCTGCGTTATTGGCGTGCAAAATCCCCCACACACGACTTACATTTCCTCTGCTTCTGACAGCGGGAAAATCCTGACCTTCACACTGGCACTGCTTCACAAGATAAAGTTCCCTTATGACAATATGCCCTTTGAGTGTGCCCTCAAACACTTAATTAACAAAGGCCAGTGGCATTACTTCTCCCACTAATTGCACACTGTTGTTTTCCTCACCTGAGTTAGGACGTACCAAACAAGGCGGCTTTCTTGAGCACGTGCGTAATTAGACACAATTGCAAAAGGTTAAATCAAAGTGTCCCTTTTGTTAAAACTGGCATAGTCACCTGCCGGTGATTTTTTTACCTATCTGTGTGGATTTTCAGCATTTTCCCCTCGTGTGTGGGTATTCGCCAGGTATTCTGGCTCCATCTCGCATGCAATTAACTCATTGCAAAAATAATGGTCAAACACGCAATCAAGCAAAACCCTCCTCAAAAAAAGTTTCACGACTCGGTGAAGCTTGTGTAGATGAATAAAGGAGGTTGTTCATTATTTGCCACTGACCAAAGCATCCAGAATGCACCTGAGCTCATCAAATCTCCGAAGCTAAGCAGGACTGAACCTGGCTAGCGCTTGGATGGGGGACCACCTTGAATAGACAGGGTGTTATATATGGCGGGAAGGCCATTTGGATAGCAGAGAGCAGTGCAACAAAATCCATTGCTACACTGCTTCTCACCTCCCATGTCTCCGCTTTAAAACCAAATTAACAAGCAAAGACAAGTATGGCGTGGGGGAGGCCCTCATCCAGCAGTGTAGTCACAAAATGTACATAGATTTATGTACCCTTTATTAACACGCTACATCCTGGTGGTTCGTTGTCGTTTTTTATCTTCTCGGCAGGCTCTGCTCAAGATGCTGGAGGGTACGGTTGTTAATGTGCCCGAGAAAAATTCACGGAGACTCCGTGGAGAGACTGTGCAGGTACGAACGCATGCATGAATGCATGCGAATGCGTGCATTTGAGGAGCGGTAGTGCACTGGTTAGCGCGCTGCACTACGAACCCGGCGACCTGAGTTCGATTCCTGCTCACAACCAACACCAGTGACGATTATCTGAACCGGTCCTGGGCCTCCCCGAGGTCGACTCAGCCTCAAATGAGTACCTGTTGTGTAAAAACATTGCCACTGGGGAGACAAAGGCGGTCGGGTATGGTACTTACCACCTACTCCCTCGTGTTCCGTGCCAGCCTTCATAGGTGCTTGCTAGCAGCACTTGCCCCAACAGCCCGTTACAGGCTATAAGGGGTAGCTTTGGATTTGCGTGCCCGTGCATTCTATGTTCGTGCTTGTGTGAGCGTGCGAGTGTTTTGGCGGTAGGTAATCAATATCGTGTTTAACGGTGCAAAAATCTCATAAATGCAGTTCCTATTACCGACCGTCCCTATCCAGATACAATCATGTTTCTTTACCTGTCATGGATATCCACTGTTTACTCAGTCGGAAATGGCCAACCAGTTCCGTAGTGTGGTGGTGGTGGTGGTGAGGGCAGCTGCCAGGCAGGCAAAGTCAGCAAGGTGTGATTGGATGTTATGGTTGAGGAACATGAAGAGTGTTTTGTGAGACTTGCGTTGATGTGTTATTGTGCACAGGTTGACACAACCAATATTCTTTTCATGGCATCTGGAGCGTTCAATGGCCTTGAGAAGATTGTGAGTCTACGCAAAGACCAAAAGGTAATGTGATAACCGTAATGATGGTGTTAGGTAATGGGTGGGTGGCTCGGTGGACTCACAATGGCCTTGCCCTCATCCACCCAGGACCAGCATGCGTGACATAACGAGTCATAAATACATTAATCATCTAATAAGTGCAAGGAATTATTACTTACAATTCATGTGGAACAAAATATTAAAAGTGAGCAAACAATCATGGAGTGATGCACGGTTATTATTACACTGAGAGACAGGAAGAGTCACAAGTGGACTAGAGAACATACACAGGTGAGAAGCATCATCTTAACTGTAAAGAAAGGTAAGGGGGGCTTGGGTAGGACACATCGCTAAAAGTGATGATGGATGGTAGTCGAGGCTATTGGTGTAGTGGCAAACAAAGAAAGGAACACAACAAAGAGGATGTTCACCATGGAGATGGAGCGATGAAATGAGCTCGCATGAAAGAGCTATGTGGATTGTTCCTTCGTAAGTGCACAAAGAAGCCTTCATGCTGGCTGCTTTGTGCGCATTTTAAAGTCCTACCGTTTTCTTCACCAGTGCCAATGTTTCTGATGCATGTGTCATCGCGTTTGTCCCAATCAGTGCCTATTGTCATTTAACCCGTGTTTAAACCAGGCGAGAATCCACTGAGAGTAGACATCTTTATTCTAAAGGAAGATTGGAGGAAATGCATTGAAAACAGACTTTTTCCCTTCCTAAATCTTTATTTTATATTTTAGAGTTATGATGGTGCCCAGATGTGCTTCTCTGTGAAAAAAGGCTGAATGCATCGCCTGGCCAATTGGCCCCTTTGTTGGTGATGGAGGCATCGGCGCATTTGCACAACAACAACAACACAAAAATCAGATAGCGAGCCGGGAAGTGCATCTGGCCCAGAGCGCGTCTCCCCCACTCTCAAACAAGCATGGGGCGAACACTGTTCTCCTCTCGGTGGCTCTGAGCCAGTGCTTGAAATTTCACATTCTATGGCAGAGGCCCGATGTCTCCATAGGATATTCGCCGTTGACTTGCCGTGAAGTGGCACTTTGCTACAGGGAGACACCAGATGGATGATGGTGATGATAACGGGCCGAATCAACTTCCACACGGGATTTGAGCTTGCTTCTTAAATTGCCACTCGAACGCTTCCGTCGCAGCATCAGCTTTGTCTCAATTAAAAATTCCCAACATTAAGGGTGCGTTGCCATGCTCACTGTAACGACAAAAACAACAACAGCAAAAATACCGCCTTCGTTGCATTTGACCTTTGCCCGCGCTAGTTTGCGGCGACGGGTGGTGCGATTGTTTTTGCGCGTTCGATTTTCGAGGCGCGAGTTCGTCGTTTAACGGTATTAAGTCTGGCGCCGCGTGGAGCTTGCATCCCTCTCGCTAGTCCCCCCCTCGGCTCGTGGGAATCCCCGTAAATTGCCGCTGCTTTGCTTGCACTTCACATTTTGATCGTCCTAAGTCGTCCAGGCGCACGCGTCACGCGACGTCATCGAGCCGGCGCGCTGTTTCGCGAGTCATCAATTAATGAGTCGGCCGCCCCGATTTGATTGCCATCGGCAATCAATGCGGACCGCGGCTGGGAATTTTTACTGGTCTCCAGCAATAATAGGCTTATTCGCGACATTGATCGGCGGCACTGGCGCCACGCAGTGTATGAATCAGCCGCATGTTTGGAAAAGGCTGTGTACGGAATAGACAAACAATATGCATCGTGCTGTAGTTACTGGTACACGTGTTTATATATAGCATTATGTCATAGCCATGTAACAATTAATCAGTTGAAAGCGATCCATATGTTCACAACGCATACATCAAATCATATGTGAGTATTGATCATTTACAAATCAAACGATAATTTACAGCCCATTGTCAGTGCTCGGCTGCATGAAGGCCTTCCCTTGTTGTGTCAGTCACACAACCTGGGGAGTCCCACACTTCGTGGTGTTTGGTGGATTTGAACTCGGGCCACTGGGTTAATAGTGCAGTGTACTAATCACTGTGCAAATTGTCCTACATATGAGTGCATGTCCAACGAGGTGCACAAACAGAGCTTTACAATAAATATAAATGGCAGGGTTATATTTTAGGGTTGCGTGAAGGTGACCATTTTTACTGAATGGTTGAAGGTTTACTCTTAAGTAATGTTACAGAATGCATTTATTTTGTTTGCAGGCGTATAGACTCGTCAAGTTTGTAACCGTTAAAAGCTCCAGACAACGCAAACCATGCGTGTATTAAGGTCTTTCACAGCATCTCATTTGCAAATACAATGAGACTGCTCACGGGTATTTTTTTACATCATCTCTATGGATTAAAAAAAAAATGTTTTTATTACTTTACTTGAAATAAATATACGAACAGTTTTCATATCAGTGGTATGCTAATAGATGATGCTTGGCCTCTATGTTGGAAGACCTGATCTGGACGGCATTGCTGATAAACGCTATCGACATTATACCCTATGAAACGTAAGAAGCAATGCTACGCCGCATCAATCCATGTCGATAGCAATTCCACCTTCTTGCCGATTTCCCCTATTGTGAATACAATGAGTACAGAGCCTGGGATTCAATCTGCGCAGCGGGGATGATGGGGTCCACGCAACCCTCATGTCACCGCGACCGCCGCCCTCCGCGGCGTCGGCGGTGCTGCTCGGAGGAGTCGCGTCTGATGCTCTGTGGGAGCAGCACGAGAGGGATCTCTTGGTTCGGCAGGCGAGTGCTGCTTGTCCCCCGTGTGGTCACGATGGTGGTGATGGTGGGGGTGGTGACGTCTGTGTGGTCACGATGGTGGTGATGGTGGGGGCGGTGACGTCTGTGTGGTCACGATGGTGGTGATGGTGACATCCGTGTGGTCACGATGGTGGTGGTGGTGGTGATGTGACCTTGATGGTGCTGATGAATTTGGTGTTGATGGTGGTCCCGGACTCGATAAAGATGATGTTGATGTGATCCTTGTTGCTGCTCCTCTTGCTGCTGTTTGTTGAGTTTGGCAGGTGGGGTAGTGGGGATGGTAATAGTAATTTATTATACTTGGGATAATTTTTTTCAATTTTTTTGTGTTCCGATTTATCCAGGAACACCTTAATGAGCCTCATGACTCTTTTTCAGGAGGGTCCTGCCAAATGTTTTTCAGTCGGGGTCGATGATTGCTCCATATGTTAATTTTTTTTTATTCTTATATATTTTGTTTATGTTCTAGTTGATAATTTCTCAAATGTGGCAAATGTGGACCACGACGCCGGCACACAATGGCCTACTCTTGGAGTCGCGGCATCTTGAACGTTCACTGTGAAGTAGATGGCGTGTATTTCTATGCCTAATACACCCAGTGTTAGTGGTGCTGCTGGCGCCACTTCCATTGTAGCTATTGAAGATGAAGCTGCTGGGACTGGGGATGCTCATGGGTGGTGGTGCGACAGTGGTGCTTCTGCTGCTTCTGATGATGGCCACGATGATTCTGATGGTGATGCTGCCGTTTGCGATGATGATGGTGATAGTGTTTGCTATGTTGATGATGCCAATGGTGATGCTGGTTGCAATGATGATGATGGTGATGCTGCTTTGTTATGATGACGATGGTGATGCTGCTTGCTATGATGACGACGACGGTGATGCTGCTTGCTGTGATGACAACAATGGTAATGTTGCTTGCTATGATGGTGATGACGATGGTGCTGCCTGCTACTGCTGCCACTGCTGCTTCTCCCACCACTGATGATGCCCCCTGTGCCGTGGCCACCCTCAGGCGGAGGCGCGCGACCTCATCGAGTTTGGGATGATCCCCGAGTTTGTGGGCCGCTTCCCCGTGCTCGTTCCGCTGCACGGCCTCGACACGGCGACGCTCGTGCGCATCCTCACGGAGCCACGCAACGCGCTCATCCCACAGTACCGCACCCTCTTCAGCATGGACAAGGTGAGGCACGGTGGGGGCGGTGGTGGGTCAGGGGTCAGGACCGGGGTGGAGCGCAGATGGTTGGTCGATTAAAAGGTGAAGGTAAACGTACAGCCCAGCAAATTGTTCGCTCGCTCGTATGAGCAGGCAATTCTTTGCGGAGAGTTCCCGAGCTACAGAGCTCCCTGATGGTATGGGGGTTATCGCATAAACACTGAAAGGTGCAGATGCCTCACATGGGGTTATAGACTTTTGGGGCGAATGCTGTTCTTGAACACCTTTTTAAGTCCGAAACGGTGCATGAGGGATTGGCGTGACCAGCACCACTCTACCAATGACTTCCAATGCTGATATTTACACTTCACAGTGGGTACTCATTCAAGGCTGAGTTGACCTAGCCGGGTCCCAAAAGAAGTTCAGGTATCGCTTTCCACTGATGTCAGCTGTGGCAGGCAATCGCAGTCAGTTCGACTGGATGGTAACGCAGTGCCGCGAACCATTGCACCGCCAATTCAAATCTGAGTAAGACGTGGAAATCTATCACGACAGAAGCATTAATGCAGGCTCGAAACAACACGCATTGCACCCCTTTGTGTGTTGTTAAATCCATTGCATCATCAATCACGCAACAACAGTCACCACTTCCGAGTAATCCTCGGTGACATCGCCACAGCGCTCATGCCAGGCCAGGTGCATTTCGAGGAGTTGGCGATACAGCGCCGACAGGACATCATGAGACAGGGGTTAGCTCGCAAATGCACAGACCAACACAAACATGCTCACTCGCTCTCCCACCATTTCATTAGCCACCTTTTCAAAATCTCTATTAATGTCATAAACTGGAAGCCTCAAGACAGAGATTCAATTAATTTACAAGCTGCGATTCAGCCTCCCCTCCATTTGCCATGGCGATGTACCCTGCCATTAAACCACAGTGGTCCATTAACTCGGCGCGTAACACATTGCGAGTGCGTTTTGTTTTAATTGAATTGTCCGAAGGTTCTCCTTTTTTTGTCTTTCATAATAGGTGGCAGTAAAGCATCTAAAGTGGATGCTTGATGTCATTACCATTGCTCTGATTTATATAATTCCACACAGAGCCATTGTAATATAATTTTGTGTGCCTTTTAGTTGCTTATTTAATATACTAGCAATCATAAATCCTCTTAGGTACCGAGTTGTTAACCCGTGCGCTCGTTGGATCTGCATAATGGCAGCATTCCAGTCGTCTCTTAGATTTGTTTCCATTAAACTCTGAAACTATTTGAAGCGCTGGTTTGCAAATCCAAAACAATGAGATATTGTTATTTTTCTGCCAAAAGATAAACTCAGAGCAGGGCAACATACAACATTTACTGTTTTAAGTAATAATGAAAAGAAAACTTTTGCTTAATCTATGAATCCCCATTTAGACTGGTACCGAGAGAGAGAGAACCTATATATGATGGGTTTAGGATCACATTCAGTATGTAACTGAAACGTGTACTTAATAAGACACGGTTATGGTGCTGATGATTGTGATGCTGGTAGTGATGATGGTCATGCTGATGATAACAGTAATGATGACTGCTCATAGCGATATTTATGATGATTATGACACTTGTGTCTGATGACATAGATTGATGATGATGACAATGATGTTGCTGATGATTTTTATGATTATGATGATGCTAGCTATGGCAATATTAATATTGCTAATTTTGTGACCATGATGACACAGTTGAAACTGCTGATGATCATAGCAGGACTTAGGTTGCTGCTGTGAATATGCTGATGGTGCTGCTGAAGATTGTGGTGCTGTTCGAGCTGCTACGACTTGCGGCTGAAGATGATGCTCACCGCAGCGGCGATGATGACAACTGAATTGTTATTTCGTGTTTCCGATGACGGAACGGTGACGATGACAACGATGAGAGAACGGCGGTGTTGTACAGCGCTGCGCGTTCACTCGCTGTAACAGAAGCCCCTTGTGCCCAGTGCGATCTGTTTGTGAATGAGGAGGCCCTGACTGCGATCGCTCGCTTGGCCCTCGAGAGGAAGACGGGAGCGCGTGGCCTGCGCTCCATCATGGTAACCCCCCTCCCCCCACCTGCCCCTTTTTTGTGTCCTGGAGCTTGAGTACCTGAGACAGGGGTTAGTACCTCGGGTGGAAGTGGTTTTTTTTTCATCTGGCTGGGCAGCTCTGTTTAGAGGGTGCTTGGCTTGTAGTTGTAAACTTGTGAGTTCAAATTCCATTTGGGGTCAGAATCGAAATTGTTTATTTATCCTGGAGGAATCGGATGAGCTATGAAGCTATTTTCACGGATGTCGAATGTTGAGACGTTAACGCAGTCCATCATCATCGTCACCCCTTGAGCGTCGGTTAAAAATGAGTACCACTTTGTGAGGTGTGAACTGTTTTACTCAAGTTACTGATCCCCGCCAAAAGAGTATAGAATTTACATCACTGGCACAGCTGACGTCAGAGTTGAGTGATAACTAAACCAGTCTGCATTGGCAGCGTGGTGAATTATGGTCCAACATGACACAGCATGGGGATCCTTTCCTCCAGCAGCGGATTAACAAAGGACTATGAATTACACAATATTGTGTGCACATATGTAGAGGTGTTAACTACGCACCGTTCGATAACCTGCATTGCCACCAGGTATAAAAGGGGCAGTGCAGCGTTACCTCTCTGGGTACATAACGGTTGGGGTCAGACGAGGTGAAGTGGATCGTAGCCACCGTTTGGTAAGAACCAACCAGCCAGTTCCACGTGGGAATGTGTGATTGGTTACACCTGGCCACGAACGAGTATAAGAAGGGTGACCCAACAGAGCTCGGTGAGTTCTCTCCCTACACGAAGACCGAAGCCCGGGCTGAAGACTAGCTAGGACCCTGGACCAGCCTTTCAGCCCTTCTGAGGGCTAAGGCTCGGCATACCCAGTGGTCAGGACCCACCGGGCCAGCGGTGGGTCAGATAGCCTCCCCTAGGTCCCAGCCGGAGGACTCTAGAATAGCGGTAGACGTGTAAGTCCCGCCAAGATAGGAGGCTGTACCTCCTTAGGTATCAAGGAGACCTGTGTGTGGGTTACGCTGAGTCCGGAGGCTGTACCTCCTTAGGGTATTGGGTGAGGGGACTGGATACCCCTCTGTGTGTGTTGAGACTGTATAAGGGAATAATTACAGTAAACAGAGTGTGCCTCCTAAGAAGTTTATTCATCTTTATAAATACTACACATACATAGAGCATTCTTTGGTGCTCACTGCATGTATTTTAGAATGATAGTGATCAATTATGGAACTGAGAGTCTCCATGTCCACCTGTTTCTTCCCTGCTGTCCCTCTGCTTGTGGCACTGGTTTCCATGCATCCATGGTGTTTGTCACCATTGTCTTTGTGTCTCCACTGTCTTTATGTGTCACCTGTCTCCGTGTTGTGCTTGTTGGTCCCTCGTCTCACCCGTGTCTCTGTGTCTTACCTGTGTCTGTATATCACTCACGGTTCCCTTGGTGTCAAACATGACATAGCTCACCCATGTCTCATCTGTCGTCACATCTCACCGTATCTGTGCCTCATCTGTGTCTCCGTGTCGCCCTCATTGTCTCTGTGGCTCACTGGTGTCTTGCCCAATGTCTCACCTATGCCTCTATGTTGTTTCCGTATCTCACTGGTGTCTCACCTATGCCTGTTTTTCTCCTTGTCTCACTGGTGTCTCACCTCTTGTGTTGTCTCCGTGTTTCGCTGGTGTCTCACCTATGCCTCTGTGTTGTCTCAGTGTCTCACTAGTGTCTCCCTTATGCATCTGCATCTGTGTTGTCTTTGTGTTTCACTGGTGTCTCACCCAATGTCTCACCTACGCCTCTATGTTGTCTCCGTGTCTCATCAGGAGAACCTGCTGCTGGACGCGATGTTTGAAGTTCCCAGCTCGGACATTGTTGCGGTGCGCGTGGACGAGGACGTGGTGCTGGGTGTGAAAGAGGCAGCCTACATCCGGTGGGGAATCATGATCTCATTCTTATCTTATTTTTATTTGATGTGTGGGGAGTGGTCGGGGAGATTAAATATGATTAAGGCAGCGGCATTTTGGATTCACTCACTCATTCAGTCACTCCCTCATTCATTTACTTATTTATTCATTCACTCAACAGTCTACTTGTTTATGTAAGCCATTGCAGGCCGACTGTTTGCTGTTCACTGGAGTTTAACGAGCATTATTTCCTTATACACGCGCAACTTCTCCGGGCACTGGTACTTCTCCCTCGTGAAAAATTATTTGATGAGATGCTGGCCAAATGTCTCTAGCAGGACCCTCCTAATAAAATAAGCCAATGGACTCAGTGGGTAAACAAATGACGCTATTATTGGGGGGGGGGGGGTTCTCCCTATTCTAACCATTAATTTTGTTAAGTGAACATTTTTCCGAGTTGTATTTTTGTTCAGGTAATAGTGGCTCGTGAGCATTTCTTGTGAAATACCCGACTCTGAACAAGATTGATTTTATTTATATGAAGCATCGTACGAGGGATATGTTACCTAATGGTGTATTCAATCCAAAAATAAAACCCTCGATTATGACATTTTGAATGACCCAAGGAAGAAACAAACATTTTTCAGATTCATTCGAAAGTACGACGTGACGGCAAAATAACGTCACTTGTATTCTGTTAGTTCCGTGCTTTTCCCGCTTAGAGGTGTCATGCAGAATTGGGTGACGCCACCCTTGCACGATGACGGATTACATTATTTCACGTAATGTAAATGATGCAGAATTCGGAACAGTATCTCAAACGAGCCTGTAAAATAAAATAAAAAATGTTAAATCAGATATATACGGTTTTTTTTAAAATATAAAACATATGCATACATGCACACTTAAGTATTTTTTTTTTTTACAACTGATGTCGAGCAACTACAATTTTACATTGAGGTACTTGAGCCAGATAATTGCGTCAGGAGTAGCCGAGTGTATAGTTTTTAGATTTAAAGCTATCGTTACTGCAGGGATTCATATTCTTGGTTCTTTCGGTAAAGTCACGTAGAAGGGAAATAATAAAAAAAAACAATAAAATTCTCACGACGTCTCGATTGCAACACAAGCAATCATCATCGGGTTGAAAACTTTTTTCTAATTTTCTTGCAGTGGTTTTCACACCTGATGATTGCTCGTGTTGCAAGCAAAACGTCGTGATAATTTTATTGTTTTTATGCTTTTATTTCCCTTCTACATGACTTTACCGAAAGAACAGTTGTGAACTATTTAATTTAAGTCTAAATTAGCATGAATCTCGACATTAAAATGAGCATTTTTTACTTAATGGAAAAAACACAGCTTGCTGTGCAACACCGCTCTGCACATTTAAGTTAATTGATAAAATATACAGAATGCAAAAAAACATAAGTTACACCGAGGAGGAGAAAAAAAACCCACCGTAAATTATTTATTGGGAGCAGTTTTAAATAAGTAATAAAGTAACATTCAAACCGCCTTTGTCTCTCCAATGCTAATGATTATATCCCACACCCTGTACTAATTTATGGCTGAATTGGCCTACAGGAGGCTCAGGACAGGTTCAGGTATCATTTGCCACTAGTTGTCACCTGGAGTGGGAATTGAACCCAGATAACGAGGTTCTTAGCACAGTGTGCGAACCACAGCACCAACGGTCCCCACCACATAAATTCACCCATATATGTACGTACACGCCGTATTGCTTTAACACTGCTTGGGCAAGCGCTGTTAGCTAGCACCTATGAAGGCTGGCACAGCATGCGAGGGGGTGGATCGCCAGCGCCATGTCTGGCCTCCTTTGTCTCCCGAGCGGCGATGTTTACACACCGCACCAGGTACTCATTTGAGGCTGAGTCGACCTAGGGGAGGCCCAGGACCAGTTCAGATAATTGTCACGGGTGTTGGCCTTGAGCGGGTATTTAACTCGGGACACCGGGTTTGTAGTGCAGTTGCACTACCTTTGCACTACCGCTACACTACTGCTCCCCATACACATGTACACACACGAATCAAAGATCCCTATTTAGCCTGATAGACTTTTGGTGCAGGTATATATGTGTGTGTTTAGCAACCTGCTAATATTAATTAATATTGTTCGCACTTGCCGACACACATGCATGTATTCGCCCATGTGCATATATGCACATACGCGCAAAAAACGCCTACACTCGAATACCTACGTGTAAAACCAAATTCACTATCAACACTGCGGTGCGTGCGTGCGTGCAAGCAAGTGAGCGTTCTATAATTTAGTTTAATGTTGCTTTTTTCTCCTGTCCGTCAACACCAGCACCAATTCCAAGGAAGGCAGCGCGGAGAAATTCCAGAGGGGAGCGCTGGAGGAAAGCTGGCATCGGCAGGTAGACGCTGCCAGCAGCTGACCTCCTCCATGTGAGATTTGAGTCGGCACTGCTGCGGCTGGAAGCCACTTGGCGGGCGTGCGCGGTGGGCGTGCGTGCGGGTGGGTGAACGGGGTAAGGCGACGGATGTAGAGGTGGGGGGGGGGAGGCTAGCCCCGATCGCCTGGGCTGTTCGTCCAATTGAAAAATGAACCTCAACGAGTAAAGTTCACAATTTAGCGAGTTTGTTTCTAGCGCTATGGCCCGGGGCACACTTTGGTGAGAGCAATAGGCATGTAATGATTCACCCAGCCAAGATTCAGTGGATGTGATTTGCGATCACGATTCAATGTTGTTGGGCTAAATGGAATCTACAGTGGCTGCAGGGTTTGTATGAACCAGTCACAGACAACATTGGAAGTGATTCTTCACACACACACACTTCAATGCATGTATCATGAGCGTAATAATATATTTTAATGAACAAATCATTACGTGCCTAGTAAGCATCAAAAGTAACAAGTACATTGTGTCCAATGCTGTGATTGCCACCACCTCACGATTGCTTCATTCCATCTGTATGATCTCCCAGCAGCAGCACAGTCAACACCTCACTTCCAAGGTGTTTGTAGTCTCATCACCGCCGTTTGGTATTAGGGCTTTCATTGTTAATTGAATCGTGGTCTAAAACTTAGGGTGATGAGGACAAAAATGCTTGCCTCCCAAGATGGTTTTCATGAAGTTAAGTCTTCTTTTCCTGCTTCAGCCACCCACTATCCCTCGGGGGAATTGCCAAAGTGAACTGGCTAATATATACTGAGCGTTAAAGACTCTGTGACACCACAATGGCAGTCTGTTATGAACTATGTCAGAATCCACATCTTAAATTCTGAAAAGTTAATTTAAAATTGCCAAATTTATATACATTGTATTCACGAATTATCCGTATGCAACTATTATTTCGCAGATCTACCTTGCAAATTAATCTAACTGGGCTGTAATTTGGTTAAATAAATATAGGATGTTGACCTTTGCAATCAGTTAGGCAAGTAAAATAATGTAGGGTAATTGGTCAGCAGACCCTGCTTTTGCATCCACCAAAGTCTGCAATAGCTGTAGTGTGTTGTATTTTGTAAAACATTTATTTTAATTTCAGTGACTTTATAATCTAGTTTTCATCCAAGATGTGCACTAAGTGAGAATTGAGCAGAAATGGGTGCTACATTTACACCGGGCGAGCAGTAGCCTCTGTCGTAACGTTAAAGCCACTGGTGTGAGACCGCATTTGAATTTCAACCTCAGACTTCCTGAACAACATTTCCGGAGCTTGGGTCTGTTTTATGAAGGCGGCAGGAAATGGCTTTGTGGCTGTGCGCGTTCCTCACAAACTTCAGCAACGCCGTGGATGCAAAACTAACGTACGCGGTTTCCTCCAGATAAAGACGAAACACAATGCACGCCACGCATGCAAGGGTACAAACATTTTTACATTTGTGTCGAGGTTATTTCGAATAAAAAGTTTGCCGATTCTTGATCATAAAGTTGGCTTTGCAGCCATCCATGACGATTTAATTCGACAAGTTTTCATGGCACAGCTGCTTTTAGAGCCTGATGTTGTTTATTTGGTTATTTGGAGTCATTAATCGGGTTTTTAAAAGAGTGAGAGAAAAACACTGATTGTATCATCTCATAAACTTGAAGACTAGTTATTTTACTGAGTTTTACGTTGTGCTTTTCAAGTGTTTATTTTGTCATTTTGCCAGATGTTACAAGGTCCTCCACTGTCAAAGGTTTAAATACAAATAGGGGGCAACGTTTTGTGAATGTTATTCACCACATCTGGATTTACCTGGGCTAAAACTTCACCGCTGACACTCGGTGCTTTGCATTTTGACGCATGAAACCACATTGTTGATTTGTTTTATTTAAAAATTATCGGGATGGAGGAAACATCAAAAATATTATTGAACCCTGACAGCACGAGAATTACATTGGTGATACATGTGCAAGCACCCTATGTGTTTAGCTATGTATGTTTTTTTGTTATAGTATTAAAAAGTGTTTGCATTATCCGCACAATGTAATAGTTGCCTCCTGTACAAGCAATGTTGCAGGACTGATTTTTAGATGGGAATAAATTGTTTGAAAAACGTGTTTGTGATGTTGCCAAGGTGTGCTTTCTTTGTTATGTTGAGGCTCACTTTGGCACAAATGGTAGATGTTACTTTGCTTTAAAAGCCAAAATAAGAACCACGGTCTGAAAATTAGGTTCTGAAGTTAAACCATTACATACTGTTTAATCTTGTGAATCGATAAGAGAACAGATACATGTATTTTTTTATTTTTAAAAATAAACAACAGGATACTTTTTAGAATAATTTCATTTGACATCAGCCATAGGTCCATAAATTAAATAAAATTCCCACGTATTTTGTCTCACTTAAGCTTTATAGAACGATTTTGCCCATGTGGTTTCCCCACATGAGCCAGTAGTGCAACTCATCGTTGTTGCTGCAATGATGCTTCTATTGGCTGTAGAAGTGTGCTGGGTATAGGTAATTTTTCTGCCATTAAGCTAAAACAAGATACAAAGAAATTGGTGACCAAAAACTTATTGTAAAAAAACGTCAGTGATCACAGCATTTGAAGAACGGAATGCCATTATACAATATAAGGCACTTCAGTTTTGTAAATTGTAGTGTGTTGAAGGTCATGCTTCTCATTGTGTGTGGAGCGGTGGTAGAGTGGTTAACACTGCGCTACGTACTCAGCGAGCTGTGTTCGATTCCCGGCTATGGATCACAGCGAATATTTGAACTGGTCCTGGGCCTTCGCTAGGTTGACTCAGCCTTAAATGAGTACTGTACCTGATATGGTGTGTAAATGTAAGAACTGGGGAGGCAAAGGTGGCAGGGCGTGGCGCTGTCTTATTGTGTTTACATTTGCGTGTACTTTGTGTTTTAAAGTACACTTAATTTGTTTTGGTTCTCAAGCAATAAACCGACCTCATTGTAAAAACAGCCGAGAAATTGTCACAGTAATCCAGAATCGGTGGAAGGATAACATTGAAGGAAACGGGAGCATTGACTTTAATTTTGCCTCCACACAATGGGAGTTATTTACTCTGACCTTAGCAGACCCATACAGAACAAATATCGTGCCTGACTGCCGCCCGTTTTACACACGCTCTGGACTTGTCATTTTCCCACGGGAAGCCACAAAAGGTGCCGACTCCATGCCCCTTTTACTCAGCGTCGGGCGGTTGAATTTTTTTTAATGTTTAGCGCGAGGCGCTTCAAAACACACGGATGCTGAAAGCAAAGCACATCCGTGACGTGGGTTGTAATGGGTTATTTAAAATAGCCCAACCTGCTCCGGAACCAGTTTTTTTTATTTTGCTCCCTATCTGGCCGCTATTAACGGGACTCAATGTTGTCAACAAACAGGCGGAATTGTTGATGGGTTGGGGGTGTAGTGGATGCAGCATTGTCACGCTTTCACACCAGCGCATTCGGAACGAACTGGCGCCACTATTCCCAGACTAGTTGTGAACTCCGATGAGGGCGACATGTGCGTGGCTGACGTGAGCTGAGAACAGACTGGGCGAGTGAGAGATGTAGCGATGGGAATTGAACAGGGACTAGTGTGATAGACAGAAAATTAAGCATTGTAGCTGCCATGGTCCATTTGTGTAGGTGTTAGCAATACCAGCATATATCAGTAAATAGAGAATGGCTAACAGAGATTAGTATATGTTGTAATCATTGTGCGGTGGAGTTTGCATGGTCTTTGTCCAGCAGTCGATAGCTTTGGAATCCATAGGTGTGCCAGTGTCTGGGCCGGTGAGTCACATGTTGCTGGGTTTTGTTTAAAAGTCTGAAGAACGAACCGGCTGACAGCCTGCTGTTTTATAAACAGCAGGCTGTCAGCTTTTCCACACTTTATCAATCTAATGAAATAACGTGAAGTGCTTTTTATTATTTCACGTACCGTGTCTTTATTGTAATTCAGTTTTTTTAACCATAAACAACTTTGCAGAATAAATAATCATTGCAATAAAAATTCAAATGCCATAAACGATTTCTGTGAACTCTTCTAACAGGCAGTAACGATGCTAGCGTTTAAATATTGCCAAAAAAATGTCATGCGTTGAAACTGTTTGCAAAAAGTGGTCTCTATTTTTCATATACGAATACATAACTCACGAATTTAAACATTCAATTTTTTTTACCAACTTCGAAGCTCTGCTATAGAATAATGTTTTGCAAATAAATGAGGATGTTAAGACTGTTATACTTACAATGTGTTACGTTAATTAAACGAAGATGCTCGTATATATTTATCTAGGCTGTGCATTCCGAGTGGCCTGACAGAAAAATAGACTTAAACATTTTTCAAATGTGCCACTGAGGCAATTGCTTACTCAAAAGCACGGCTGCACTATTTTAGTTGGGCAACGCTACAATATTTGTAGTGGGAAGTCGGCAGTAGTAACTAATTTTAGACTGATCCATTACATAGGATTGTGGAATCTCCACTTCTGGTTCAACATCGCCAGTGGAGATGTGCACCACCTAAAGCTTGTTCGAGCTCAACGATTTTTTTTTAGTCTGTAGAGTATACAGTATATACAATTCGTGTAGTTACAAGTAATATTAATTGGGCGTTGGTAATTATAACGGTTTTGATGTGCCTCTTTATGTTTTTTAAGCTGTGTTGACAGCATTTATATAATGTGCACTCTAATGATATCCTTTTTAAAAAATAACATAATTCAGAGTATATTCCAAAAAGTAAGCTCGGGATTACTGCGTGCAGAATGCGTTGTAATCAAAACTGTAATAAATCCCCGAAGGGAAATAAGATTTGTTGGTGAACTTTTTTTCTGTAAAAAAACATTAAAAAGTTAAAATGCAATGCAATACAGGGAATTTGCCTCTGATAGCGTTGGGGGTTTCAGGTTCGCCTTGAAATTGTGTAAATGTTAATACATTTATAGAAGCTTATTAATGTTTCATTGGCTCAGGCTCAGGCAGACAGGTGCTTCGAGTCTCATGTGGATCTACTAATAAGTGGTCTCGGAGGAGCATTATTAGCCTGAATTTCATTAATAATTCACATGTAATCCATGACATCTGTTTCGATTTTTTTAACGAGCACAACAAGGTGGGGTGGATGGGGGTGGAAATCATGCATTTGAAATAAATATTGGTTCCATAACCCACTTAATATAACTCCGATGTATGTTATTGCTTAAAGGGAAAATATTAAATGTTAAATCTATATGGGGAGCAAACGAAAATGGGAATTAAAGCAATGGTGAGGAGAAATACAAGATGTTTAACATTTAATGTCCACGCTGCGTGTGGAGCATTTTGTTAAATCCCAGGGGCGAGATATTGAGCGGGTATCATTGGTACATTGAGCGACCTGAGGTGCCACGAAAAAAAGACATCCACCCGGGTGGTGCTGTTCTTAGAATGCTTGCCTCACAACTGGAAAGTTACGAGTTCAAATCCCGGCCAGGGGTTTATTAAACCCATCATCCTGCAATGGCCATTAAAATATTTAGTGCCTTACCACTTTGTGGAATATAAAACAGTGGGTTTTAAATAAAGAGACTCATTCCCCACCATGTGAAAGTAGAATATCCACTGCTTGTTCAGAGCTGCTGATGTAGATGATTACTACCTAATTTTTCATTTGAACTTGGAGACATGTTAATCAACTCTGAAGCTCAATTCATTTGTTGTTGTTGAACTTATATCTTTCCACTCAAATGGTTAACTGAGTCGCTTGCCCATATTGAGCACACAAAGCAATGAAGTCATCAGTGCCTTTTGGTGAAGTCACCATTCCCATTTAGCCTGGTCCGCATATTGTGAGTTTTACAGAGACAGAAAAATTATTATTCACGTGGTGTTTTGATTTAAAGCTTTCGTGACTGCATGGATTCATATTCTTGGTTCTTTCGGTAAAATCACGTAGAAGGGAAACAAAAAAATATAAAATAAAAAAATTCTCACGACGTTTCGACTGCAACACAAGTAATCATCATCAGGTGTGAAAACCTCAACAAATTTTCTTGTGAGAATTTTTTTTATTTTATATATTTTTATTATTATTTTATTGATTCCCTTCTACGTGACTTTACCGAACGAACCAAGAATATGAATATCACGTTGTGTTGTTGCTCTATCATGTGTTGCATCAAGTATTAATATTTCAGGTGATGACAATACGATAAAATCATGGTTTTGTTGATTGTCCAGACACCTATGGTACCATGTTTAGCTCAATGCCTAACCACGGGGTATGCGCTTCTCGCATAGGATGTGATATCGCAGGAAGAGCTTCCACAGCACGTGATGTCACATAGCTCTATTGCTAACCAGTTTTCCCTGAAGCTGAAGGTGGCAAACGCAGTAAGTTTTTCGCTTTAAATTGTCTCCAATCGTGCTGACTTTCTGTTACCACTGAAAAAAGTATTTTGCATGTAGATTGACTTTAAGATGCTTTGGTAGATGATCATTGTGAATTTGCTTCAAGCCATAATCAACACCACTCTATAAGATTCTCTACCTGTGGACCAAGCTTTACAGAAAAACATCTTCCTCCTCGATGTTATAATGCCATGTATCTCCACTACCACCATAACCACCGCCACCACCACCACCACGCAACGTGGAATCCGCCAGTGTCGGTCGCAATCGCTTCGATGGTGGTGGTGCCGACCTGGCCGCTGCTGATGTGGAGGATGTGGAGAACTGCAGCCTTGGAAGGGGCTTCTGCAGGGGCGACACGGTGGCCGTGAGTGTCATTGGCTTGCGGCCCGTGGCCTTTGCCCGTGTGCCGGATGGGGCCCTGCTGCCACTGCTGCCGTGGGTCAATGGCCGCACGTGGTGGCGGCTCAGGCCACTGTGCACGTGCAGGGGGTTGTATGTGTGCAGCACCTCCAGGCCAGATAGGGCGGTCTGCAACGAGATACATGGGACAGGAAGGATATTGGGGTATTAATGAGGGTATGGCTTGCTGACAAGAATTTGTCAAGTCAAAACTGGATCAAGGAGGGTCTTTGTAGTGTGGTGATTTGGTGGCTTCAGGGTTCTTCTAATACTGGGCTGTCGCTACTAACGCGTTAATGGCCTCAGCCAGATCACCCATCACTGCGTATAAAGCTCATCACACCCTTAATTTGGCAAATTCCAGCTCTGAGAAATATTTCTGTTTGACAACTCATAACTGCCTCTCCAGGAGGCCATGTCACAAAATACTCTGCTCATATTGTGGCTGAAGCAATTGAAGGATCTCAGAAGTAGTTCTGTGATATCACCTTCCGGAGATTGGGGTATTGCAACCGGAAATTTATTTTTCTCATGAAATGACACCAATGATCATTATTGCAAATCGAAAAAAACATTCCTATATGGCATGCCTTAAAATCATCCATCATTATCTTGTAAGTTTTACTAATATTTCATTGAGACAGCCTGCCTATATTACATGGCAGTCCCAGTACAGAAGCAGCTGGCTGATCCTGTGTTTAGAGAATCCGATTTACAATATGTTTAAATCTCAGTCAGATATAATTTAAGCCCTGTATTTTCATCAAATTAGTACCACTTTGTGGATACTTACAGGAGTCATCCTCTGGAATGGAATGACTGACCCCTGCCGTAGATATGTGAACTTTTCACAACTGGCTTGAGATTGTAAATGCTCGTTTGACTTGGGAAACAATTTGGCTTTTTATACATACCGACCAAGTAAAGATAAAAATCATTATTTACTGGGCATTAACTGGTGTGCCCTCGGTGTGGGTAGGGAGTTATATTGAAGTGACTTCTTAAGTACTGTGATGTCATCTTCCAGAGCCACTCTCTTACACAGAGTGATGTGCTACTAACCGCGGCAGCTCTGAATGAAAATAACTTTTGTCTCATGGCACGAAACCGAGAGCACAATTTGTAAAACAAATCTAAAGCATAACCAAAAACTAAGCAAAGGCAAAACAATGGACACGTAGGTAAAATAAAAATAAAACAACTAAATTACCGAAAAAACCAAAGAGTATGAATCCTTGCAGTCAAAGCTTCAAATCTCGAAGCAAAACAATGGAGTTGATTGACATCCAACCAACACTCTTGGCAGGGCATATAGAATATGCGCCACCTAGCGTAGATAAAGGGACGTCATTTCAGCCCTGCGACGTCATCTTTGCAGGTCATTCCCTAACATTTTCTTCATCTCTAGAATTGACACCCATTGCAGTTTAAAAAGTTGAAGTTGAAAGAGGACCTTAGCAAGGTGTCCCCTGGTTATGGGTAAATAGGTTACGCCATGCTGACAAAACTCAGCCTGATTCATGGTTTCTGGCCATAACAGCACGTTCACTTGCTATGGTTTTAGAGGTTATGCCTTGCTGATGAGAGTCTTTGAAGTCAAAGTGGGTCCAACATTCCTGACCGAAGAGAGTTGAAACCAAAACTGTTTCAAGGATTGTGCTCTTAACATCAGGCTACATGAACCTTACATATGATACGTTACTTTGTAGAGAGCAATCATGAGACTAATCAAGTAATGTTATGTTCCTTTGAAAATAATGAATGTAGGATTTGATACATATAAAACCTCAAGTAGTCAGTGGCAATTTACTTTTCAAATGTCACTCTCCCAACATAGACAATAGGATGATTGAGCCTGCGTGGTTGTGCATTTTAAAAAGCTTGCTCATGCCACAAAGTGCAGCACTTCTAAGGTAATGTTTAAATGTAATTGTACTGAGGCAATTTCGTATTTTAAGGGCTGAATCTGGCACATGCATATGCGCATTAGGATAAAACTTATAATGTGCAAGCACGGCCTATTAGCTGAAGCTTCATATTGGCATGTTTCATTTTGTTAGATGCCTCATCCACTGCTTTGCATTTGGCAATAGCATTGGCATTGAAGGCGCCAATCTCGTTTCCTTTAACGTCTTAGCAGGAAACGCCAGCATGCATGACAGGAGTCTTGTTTAGCATAGATATTGTGCATTCTACAACTTAATTTCTCCATTTCAAAACTTCTGCACTTGCCTCATTCCATCTGCAGCAACCACAAATACCTAAATTGTCACATCCATGTCTTTTTTTATTGTTTTGAAGGGTAATATCGTGTGAGCCTGGATTCTATCATTTTGAGCTGTTGCTGTGTGAAAAGTATCACGAGAAGCTACTTTTTTATCCATCCTGCGATTTCAGCAGCGTGACGTTAAGTGGCTCCCACTGAGTAATTCAAACCTACCCACCAGGTTCCCTTTTGTTTCCACTCGCCCCGCGTTTCTGAGGTGGCAGGTTTTGTGAGCACTCTGCGATCGTTCCTCAGCCAACCCACCCCACTCAGGGTTACAATTTAAAGGCAGGTGGTGTGAAGTGGCGCTGTTCTACTTTTAACACGGCATTTTTTGGTTACGGGGAAGTTGAAATTTTACCAAAGGAATCACTTCTGGCTGCCACTTTTGCTGATGCAAATCAGCGGCGATTCGTGTCAGCAGCTCATTCCTGGCATTAAAAGGGAAAATAAATTAAATGGGTTTTTGGAGCACCGAGCCCCCACTTGCTGTAACACATCACCCTTAGTAATAAGGACACCTCTGCACAACTGCCCGTGGACAACACACATCACGTGGGGATTTCTTTGGCTGCTTCCTTCAACTCCGGTACCTTAATTGGACCATAGAAACTAAACACAGTGGAGATGGGTTATCATTCATCTCTAAATCGGGCTTGCTTGGAAATGTTTGGTTTTAGGAGAGGGCTCAGAGATGCAAGGGAATTCTTCAGACTTCATTTGGCCAGTAGATGGCAGTAAAGCAAGTAGGTTGCTGACTTGTATGTGCTAATATTTAAGTATTTCCCCCCTCATCTGCATGGGTTTCCTCGGTGCACGAATTTTCCTACTCACAAGAATGCTGAATGAAAACATTGTTTTGAAAAGGCATCTTAGACACTCAGCGATTCCTTCGTGGGTAAGTAAAGGATTTATAAGAGTCTTAACTTTGGGTCAAGTCAGGCTATCATTCCTCTGGGGTTGATATAATTGATACCTCCTCGTTGTGGGAAGTTGAAAGTGGTTGTCCTATGATATAATTGGCCCTTGCTTCTAGGAATTTCCAAAACTCGTTTAGGAACACCGACAGTGATGAGCGATGGCTCACCATATTTAATGTAAACTTTGCAATTGAAGTTGGGAATGCAAACGAAGGATTGTATCTACCAAACCCTTGCAGTCAACCTCCTTAGTAACATGTGCTGTTTTAGACTTGACTATTCAGACATCTGTTACAGCAAGTAGGGTTCTCTTGTCCTGAGTTTAAGCAGCAAGAATATTGTAATAATAAAGGTTTTTGGGTTAGATCGCGTTATTTATAAATGTGTCGTAACCCTCCACCACCCGACACGGCCAATCAGCAAAAAAAGTGTCACGTTGACAAAAGACAATTAGTTCACTACTTTAGCCCACCGGTGTGTTGAAGAGTGAATCCACAACATTTACAGGTACTCAAACTGTAAATGTTGTGGATTCACTCTTCAACACAAACCTTTATTATGAATAATATTGGTCGCGAAAGCCTACGTGTTAAACTGATATTGTAATAAAATATAATTCAGAAATATAAAAAACTTTTAAAGGGGCTCCTGCATTGGAATGCTATATTTTTTTGCATGTGAAAGTAGACAGAGGTATGCAGATAAAATTAATGCATAACACTCTTAAGGTTTGAATGCATGCTTTGTGAACCCATTTCTTATACCGACATCCTCTGGGTAGATTGTAGCCCAGCCAGTTTTGGAAGCGTTACAAATATGGACATCTGTGAAAAAGAGCTTTATAGCTCATCGGAATCTGTCAGTATAAATACATATTTTAATTGATGTTATCCACCAACCCTTCCCTTCAGAGCACTGGCATACAGGAGTACATCTCCATACCTAGTTTGATACGAGTATGCTGACATCCTGGAGCAAAATATATTTTGGCAGTGTCACACACAAGTGGCCAAGTTTCCATGAATATGTTTCTGAATCATACTCAGGGAAAAAGACCGTAACACTGCAGAATTTTAAGTTAATGTCAAAAGCAATGTGCCTACTCTTCATGTGATGGCTGTGCACTTGCTAGGAATGTTAAAGTTTCACACAAAACTTATAAATGATATTGTGCAAGAGTGTGTCGATTTCTTTGCAAGGTGACTTGGTGTATTTCCATTGTGATTTTTGGCTGGCAGAAACTAGATTTTTTTCTGTGGTGGAAATATATTTTGCATGATACAACCCAGAATTTTAGATGGGACTTGTGTGTGTTAGATGAGTAGAGGCAATGTCAATGGGCAAACAACCTTCGTGTCACATTTATGAAATACATAGGCACACAAGCTTATTATATACAGTACATCAGTCATCAGCATCGTTAACTGAACATGCAGGTTTCAACTATGAATCATGTGCATTGTTGATCAGAAATTCTCTCCTCACTCATCTGCTGCGTCTTATTTGGCTGAAGTCCTCAATTATGTCACGTTAATGATGTTAGCCTGTTCACCAGTGATTGAAAAATAAAAATATATTTAATTTTAAACTCAATTGAACATATTTCAGCTCTGAGAATTGACATTTTCATTTTGATTGATAAGCAATTATCAATGCTGGGCGTAGAAAAGCTGCGCCTCTCGTGTGTATAAAGAGGCCAATTAAAATTATTTCACAAGTAGTTCATGAACGTACGTCATCGGAACGGAATGGAAAGAAAAACTGATGACATACACGTACGTCATCGGAACGGGAAAGGGTTAACAGGGTTAAGTTTCCCGTACTCACCTCTATGTCCAACAGGGCTCCTAGTTCCGGAGTCTCAGGCAGAAGGGGCTGGTCACACGGTAGCAGCAGCTCGGCCACCGCAATGGACTTTATCAGCAGGCTCAAGCCCCCTGAGGGCAGCAGGAGGTAGTAGGCCCGCACTGGGCCCATGCGCAGGGGGCCCGAACTTTCACTGTCACATGATGCAAGAAGCTGCTGACCCCGCACCTACAAATGGCAGCACAGCATTGTTCACTCGCTCACTCACTCACCTACCTACCTACTCACTCAATGACTCACCTATTCACTCACTTGTCCACCCACACTCACTTTGTGTGGATGGTTTTCTCTGGGTATTTAGTTTTTTTTCTTCCACATGTTGAAATACTAAATACAGAATTAGTGTGACATCCTAAGCCAGAGCCAAATGCAAACAGCCTTGGTAAAAAATGAATGATATATTAATCTACTTTACTGTGACTAAAAATTTCAAACTGTAATAGGCATTATGAAATACATATTAATGTAATTTTAAACAATTTGTGATTCTGCAAAATGATAATTATCCAATCATGTTTTAAATGTTAGTCTACACTCTTGATGTCAGCATATCTTCTTCAGTCACTTCAGAATTACAACATGCCACGCAAGTAAAGATGAATCTGTTTTCAGATAAACATTTTTTTCTGATGGAAAAAAAGCACCACTGACAAAGCATCACGGTACACTATAAAGTTTGAGGTCTTCAATGGAAATACCATCTCTCTGATATAATGGCCAGCTAAATATACGCATTCACAAGGCTGGCCCTTGGTCACGACCTGTGACAGTGTTGGCAGCCTTAAAATTATAACGTGAAAGGATTTTATATAAAACCTGCGAGAGAACATGGATGCTGGGATATAATGTCAGGCTGGCTGTATTGGTTATTGACTGCAGAGGTCAGAGTCCCCGCTTTTGTATAAAGGCAGTAGCGACGACTCATCCAGTGCCATACGTCTCTGGGAAACGCGACAGTGTCCTTAGAGCAACCGAACTCTCCTTAAAAATGTAAAGGACGCGTGGCTGCCAACAAATAATGCCTTGGCCGAGTGTGCACAGCCGTTGGGGCAGGTCCAATGCCCTGCTCAGGCGTGTTCTCACTTGACCTCAGTGGCGGCTCCCTGGGTGCGCGTGGCTATGTAGCACCGGTGTCAGAACATATTAGTGTTTTCTAAATATGAAGCAAAAAAAATCCTCCTGCCACTGCCGGTATAATGTTTCGCTTAATAAATGCGCGTGGGCTGCTGGTGTGTGCGAGGTCAACACTCATACGGCTCCAGCGAAGCTGACATTTTGAACGCAAATTCTATTGCCTGCAAGGTGACACAGACCTATAATCCAGCTGCTTGGAGGTCGTTTAGTTCATGTGGCATTGTATTAACTGGCGAAATTGTTGCATGAAAAGCCATGAACTACCGTACTCCTCAAAAGACACGAGGACTTGTAAATGTCGTTACCACTAACCCTGACGTTGACTCTGAAGCAACATGGCTTACAGGTAAGCGGGAGCTTTATCGTGAGTCGTAGTGGCTTAGGATTACAGGTAAAGTAAGTGGTACCGACGTGGATTCTTTGTGTACGTGTCAGGGTTTGCAGCTGATGGATCGGACGTGTGGCAAACTGCTTGAAAGTCTTAGGATTGTAATGCATTGCTTTGTGTCGAGAGATGAGCTGTGTAAAAAATATGATGCTCTCCAAGCCTTGGATATTTCCCCAGTCTATATTGGCCGTGACATGCATTCTGGCTAAATTGTTCTGATGGAAATAGCATTTCTGCTGTAGCGGTGATGAAAGCACGTGTGCAGAAACACTGACCGTGTTGTATTTTACTTTGTCAGCGACATTATCATTTTCATGACCGCTCTTCCACCTAAAGATGCATTGTTTATTGCTGCAGCAGCATTTCTCTTTTTAATGCAGAGGTTTAGCTGGAGAGACCAGTGGCTGAACTGTATTTGTTGTAAACAAATACAAAAAACGCTCTCTTTAATGAATGTTAAACAATAAATGCTCACTGATACATTGTACATGAGTCCAGGCCTTTTAGGTTCCAGTGATGCAAAACATTGTTGAACACGGTCTCATTTTACATAATAGGAACATGTGCACACAATTAGTGGGTTGATAGATAGGCATGTAGGTCAATTATTAATAGTGACAGGATACTGCACGCATGTACAGTGAGGGAAAAAAATATTTGATCCCCTGCTGATTTTGTACGTTTGCCCACTGACAAAGAAATGATCAGTCTATTATTTTAATGGTAGGTTTATTTGAACAGTGAGAGACAGAATAACAACAAAAAAATCCAGAAAAACGCATGTCAAAAATGTTATAAATTGATTTGCATTTTATTGAGGGAAATAAGTATTTGACCCCCTCTCAATCAGAAAGATTTTTGGCTCCCAGGTGTCTTTTATACAGGTAACGAGCTGAGATTAGGAGCACACTCTTAAAGGGAGTGCTCCTAATCCCAGCCTGTTACCTGTATAAAGGACACCTGTCCACAGAAGCAATCAATCAGATTCCAAACTCTCCACCATGGCCAAGACCAAAGAGCTTTCCAAGGATGTCAGGGACAAGATTGTAGACCTACACAAGGCTGGAATGGGCTACAAGACCATTGCCAAGCAGCTTGGTGAGAAGGTGACAACAGTTGGTGCGATTATTCGCAAATGGAAGAAACACAAAAGAACTGTCAATCTCCCTCGGCCTGGGGCTCCATGCAAGATCTCACCTCGTGGAGTTGCAATGATCATGAGAACGGTGAGGAATCAGCCTAGAACTACACGGGAGGATCTTGTCAATGATCTCAAGGCAGCTGGGACCATAGTCACCAAGAAAACAATTGGTAACACACTACGCCGTGAAAGACTGAAATCCTGCAGCGCCCGCAAGGTCCCCCTGCTCAAGACAGCACATATACATGCCCGTCTGAAGTTTGCCAATGAACATCTGAATGATTCAGAGAACTGGGTGAAAGTGTTTTTGTCAGATGAGACCAAAATGGAGCTCTTTGGCATCAACTCAACTCGCCGTGTTTGGAGGAGGAGGAATGCTGCCTATGACCCCAAGAACACCATCCCCACCGTCAAACATGGAGGTGGAAACATTATGCTTTGGGGGTGTTTTTCTGCTAAGGGGACAGGACAACTTCACCGCATCAAAGGGACGATGCACGGGGCCATGTACCGTCAAATCTTGGGTGAGAACCTCCTTCCCTCAGCCAGGGCATTGAAAATGGGTCGTGGATGGGTATTCCAGCATGACAATGACCCAAAACACATGGCCAAGGCAACAAAGGAGTGGCTCAAGAAGAAGCACATTAAGGTCCTGGAGTGGCCTGGCCAGTCTCCAGACCTTAATCCCATAGAAAATCTGTGGAGGGAGCTGAAGGTTCGAGTTGCCAAACGTCAGCCTCGAAACCTTAATGACTTGGAGATCTGCAAAGAGGAGTGGGACAAAATCCCTCCTGAGATGTGTGCAAACCTGGTGGCCAACTACAAGAAATGTCTGACCTCTGTGATTGCCAACAAGGGTTTTGCCACCAAGTACTAAGTCATGTTTTGCAGAGGGGTCAAATACTTATTTCCCTCATTAAAATGCAAATCAATTTATAACATTTTTGACATGCGTTTTTCTGGATTTTTGTTGTTGTTATTCTGTCTCTCACTGTTCAAATAAACCTACCATTAAAATTATAGATTGATCATTTCTTTGTCAGTGGGCAAACGTACAAAATCAGCAGGGGATCAAATACTTTTTTTTCCCTCACTGTAGGTACTGTATATGTAAATGAATAGGTAGGCAGGCAAGGAGGTAATATTAGCCATCATGTAGGTAAGCAGGCAGGTAGGTATGTAGGAAGGAGCATTAAATTAAGGTTGCACATTGTTAACATTTATCAGAAACAGAATTTGTATGTGAAAAAAGAAAAAGCCACGATAGTTGAAAATGACTCTCATACGGTATGAAGCAGCAGTCATATGATCAACAGCAAATCATGAGGTTGCACCCCTACATAAAATACGCGTGCATTTCGTTGGTAAGGAACTATGCAATTTGTACTGATAATCGCTAATCATGGTCAAACTGCGATACAATTGCCGAGTAGTCTTAACCCTAGATTACGGCATGGGAGCACACGTAATTTTGAGCAGTGTTTTGAATGTACATGCTAGGAACGGAGCAGACCGTGCACATCTTGGTGCTGTGCGTGTTTGCGTGCAGCATGCGGCTCACCTTCAGCGAGTGAGAGAGGGCGTGGAAGTACTGCCTGTTTGTCTCCAGCTCCTCCCAGTCAAGCTTCCAGCAGCTGGTGGGCTTGAGTATCAGGGGCAGCCCGTACAGGACTGATTCGCACACTCCTTCTTCACTCACCGTGCTGCAAACCTCAGCAAGTATAGCCAGTTTGCACAACCGCAACCACTGAGCCAGGCAGCATGGGTTTGATGGCTCAAATCCTGCCACTTCCCTGTAAGACTATGGTAGACTTACGCATTATGTATGTTGAACTTATTTCGCACCATACATAGCCAACCATGCTAATCGGTTACCAAAGCATGCCAGGTGTGCAGGTACATTTTTTTAAATTGGCAACTTGTATTCATGATGTAATTTATTTAGGTATACAGGAAGTTCGTGTTTTGGAATGTTTGACCAGTTCACTTTTTAACACGTATTTTGTCTGTGGGAGAACATGGGAATACTCAGAGAGCCCATGCACATGGGCATGCACATGGGGGGGGGGGGAGGTGATAACACTCATAGGTCCACAGAGATAGGTTCGCTAAGCAGCTTGTCCACATCATATCCAAAATAATTTTGGAGTTAGACAAATCCTGGATTAATGCTGTACACCACCATTTATAATAACTTGAAAGTGTGGTTGGTGGATCATGAAGAGATCAAGTGACCATCCATGCACAAAGCACAAAGAGTAATGACTTGCTTGTAGGAGATGTAACAACAAATAAGTTGTTGATCTGTTTATAGTTTGAGTGTTATTCACATTTTATTTTTAATCATGGTACCAAATCACCTGGAATGCACCCAATTTCAACAGAGCTCAGAAGCTAAGCTGGATTTATCCTGAAAATTTATTTGAATGAGTAACCACCTTGCATAACAGGGGTTAGAGACTGTGGAGGTATATGGTGCGCACCAGAGGCTAGCACAGCAAAGTTCATTATTTCACTGTACTTCTTTGCCCCCATGATCAATGCTCTTTGTGTTCACAAACCTGCATTGATCAGTGTGTTAGAGCAACATCCAACAATCCACATGATCTGCATGGCATGTATCCAGCAGTAGATTGACAAAGAGCTATCCATGTGCTCCAATTTCCTCCCACATTTGAAACATTACCTAAGAAATCTTCATCCATCTCTATGCAGGACCATCCTGAAAAAGAGTCTTTAGAGTCAGTGAGGCTTTCCTGTATCAATAAAGCATTATAATAGTTATTTAAATGGAGGAATGTTTAAATCTGATTACCTGTACCTCATTTACCCATATCCTCTGTCGTTGCTGGTGAAATTGACACAGATCGAGTGGTTAAATTGGCGGCAAGACCAGAACATAACACCCAGCATCCCTTAACGCTGTCACATTATATTAAGAGTGTGTTCCATTATGCTAACCGGCTCAAGTGACTGATGGTTTTTCCCACACAAGGGTAAACCCAAACATATAACGTGGTTATAGGCCACTGTTTGCAATAGCATTGTCTGTTAGTAAAAACAAATAAGTGGCCTGCTTTCACTTTTAGCAAATCATTCTGTTTGTTTTTCTAATGTTTTCTTCCAATTATATTCAAATTGCCTCTTGGAGTCCTGTTATGGGACATATGGAGCTCCCACACAATGAGCAATGCATCACTAAGTGTCTAGGAATGGTACCAGAAGGTGACATTACAGAAATAGGTGCCCTCAATAGCTTCTCTATTAACATTTGGAGCGCACCTTTTATAAGCAATGAAAATAACATTTGTTGGAGGCCAATACAACCAAAATGGTGTAATTCTCAGAACTGGAATTCAGCTGCAATACAGTGAGGGAAAAAAGTATTTGATCCCCTGCTGATTTTGTACGTTTGCCCACTGACAAAGAAATGATCAGTCTATAATTGTAATGGTAGGTTTATTTGAACAGTGAGAGACAGAATAACAACACAATCCAGAAAAACGCATGTCAAAAATGTTATAAATTGATTTGCATTTTAATGAGGGAAATAAGTATTTGACCCCTCTGCAAAACATGACTTAGTACTTGGTGGCAAAACCCTTGTTGGCAATCACAGAGGTCAGACGTTCCTTGTAGTTGGCCACCAGGTTTGCACACATCTCAGGAGGGATTTTGTCCCACTCCTCTTTGCAGATCTTCTCCAAGTCATTAAGGTTTCGAGGCTGACGTTTGGCAACTCGAACCTTCAGCTCCCTCCACAGATTTTCTATGGGATTAAGGTCTGGAGACTTGCTAGGCCACTCCAGGACCTTAATTTGCTTCTTCTTGAGCCACTCCTTTGTTGCCTTGGCCGTGTGTTTTGGGTCATTGTCATGCTGGAATACCCATCCACGACCCATTTTCAATGCTCTGGCTGAGGGAAGGAGGTTCTCACCCAAGATTTGACGGTACATGGCCCCGTCCATCGTCCCTTTGATGCGGTGAAGTTGTTCTGTCCCCTTAGCAGAAAAACACCCCCAAAGCATGTTTCCACCTCCATGTTTGACGGTGGGGATGGTGTTCTTGGGGTCATAGGCAGCATTCCTCCTCCTCCAAACACGGCGAGTTGAGTTGATGCCAAAGAGCTCCATTTTGGTCTCATCTGACCACAACACTTTCACCCAGTTCCACTCCAGCGCTAATTCCTTTGTCAAGGGGTACCTCTGCGGATGTGTATACTTTAACTTAGCTATTTCAATGAGCCATTTCAATGCTAAATTATATGCTAATTCCTTTGTCAAGGCGCTTGGTCTTTTTCTTCTCACACAGCTTAAAGGTCGTGATCTAAGCGTGGCTTCTTCCACTCCAGCGCTGTCCTCCAGACAGTCTCGTCCCTTCACCTGATGAAGGCCGCTTGTGTTGTGGCCGAAACGTCGTGATTTTTTGTTATTTTATTTTCACCTACGTGACTTTAGCCAATAGAACCAAAGAGTATGGATCCTAGCAGTCACGAAAGCTTTAAATCTAGAATTTTCACCCAGTTGTCCTCTGAATCATTGATGTTCATTGATGTTCATTGGCAAACTTCAGACGGGCATGTATATGTGCTTTCTTGAGCAGGGGAACCTTACGGGCGCTGCAGGATTTCAGTCCTTCACGGCGTAGTGTGTTACCAATTGTTTTCTTGGTGACTATGGTCCCAGCTGCCTTGAGATCATTGACAAGATCCTCCCGTGTAGTTCTGGGCTGATTCCTCACCGTTCTCATGAGCATTGCAACTCCACGAGGTGAGATCTTGCATGGAGCCCCAGGACGAGGGAGATTGGCAGTTCTTTTGTGTTTCTTCCATTTGCGAATAATCGCACCAACTGTTGTCACCTTCTCACCAAGCTGCTTGACAATGGTCTTGTAACCAATTCCAGCCTTGTGTAGGTCTACAATCTTGTCCCTGACATCCTTGGAGAGCTCTTTGGTCTTGGCCATGGTGGAGAGTTTGGAATCTGATTGATTGATTGCTTCTGTGGACAGGTGTCTTTTATACAGGTAACGAGCTTGTTACCTGTATAAAAGACACCTGGGAGCCATAAATCTTTCTGATTGAGAAGGGGTCAAATACTTATTTTCTTCATTAAAATGAAAAAAATACAATTATAGACTGATCATTTCTTTGTCAGTGGGCAAACGTACAAAATCAGCAGGGGATCAAATACTTTTTTCCCTCACTGTAGGTAAAAAAACAACGTTAATGTGATAGGGGTTTTTTTGCACAGATTGAGTTTGATTTAATTACAGGTGGTTAAAACCTGGATTAGAACTCTTGAGCTCAGTTATCTGCTTATTGCTCGAACAAAGCAAAAGACCCTCATGTCAATAAGCCAACCACTATTTTATATCTTACTCTGTGGGACAGTTTGACCACTATCACTGACCAAAGGGACATATACCGTATTTTCCCGCATATAGCCCGCATACGCATTTAACCCGCAGACGCATATACCCCGCAAAATGAGCGTTTTGTGTAAAACAAATTTCAGATCGCCCGCACCTCCATATACCCCGCATGCATTCATATCTTTAACGTCGTTACCGCAGCTTAATTCTATCATATTAATACAAAGTTTACATTTGTAATACATTCCACTATCAATTGTTAACATTAAAATCATAACGTGCACAAAGACAACAAACTAACCGGAAACGAGTGAACTTAACAGTAAATAAGTAGCAAAAGTAAATGTCCAATAAATAAGTAACACATAACTGGTAGATACGTAAGTAAGCGTACTGTTAGGCTAACCAGCATTCGACCTCATCATATTACAGCTACTCGACCAGTAGTTACCCCTGTACAGTTTTAGCACTGGTAGATTGCGCACTGTGCAGACAATAGTAGCACTACGGTAACACCATTTCCTCCTGGCAACAAAGCCATTGGAAGTTTGAAACAAAGCTCATGGTCGCGACTGTATAGTGCTCAGCCAATAGCAGCGGCCTAAGGGACACAGCAATTATGATTCCGCGTCTGGTAGACGCTTGTTAAGGCCTTTCCCATTGTGCAATCCATAGCCTCAGTTGAAACTTTCGCACCCCCCTACAGCCACTGAAAGTATTACGGTAAACAAAGTGCGCCCACTTCAAACATTGTCGTTTCATTGTACAAACAATTCGATTAATTTCAAACGTGATAACATGTGCAATTTTAGTGTGAGTGGTTTATTCAGCAGTGCTTTAGTCAAAGGTAAGTGTTGCATCGTTGATAGTCTTACCATGAAAAAATTAAACGAGTTATGACATGTCACACGTGTAAAATATTTTTGGGATAGCCCGCACCTCCATATACCCTGCAGGGTCTTGTTTTGTTTGTAAAAAGCGGTATACCCCCCGGTTATACGCGGGAAAATACGGTAGTTTGTAGCTTTGAACCGTAGTTCATAGCACACAAGTGGAATCTTTTCCTTTATGTTTTGCAATCTCGATATAATTTATTAATTTTAAACTGATTTGTTTACCTTTCCGATAATTGCACTCCTATCGTGTTTTGTATTGTTTGTTGTTGTAGCATTCTGACCCGCCCCTATTGGACATGTGAAAAGAGCTTTATAGCTCATCGGATTTCTCCAGTATAAATATTCTGATTCTGGATAGAACATGAGCACTTTATTGGTCTGTAAAGGTGCTTTCACGTGTAGCTTTGACATGACTACAAGTCATTATTTTTCCATGGCTACCTTTTTAAATGCTATAGCAGAGTACAATATTATACGATCCAATTTTAATATATAGATTTATAAATGCAATGTCATCTCAAGGCTACTTAATTAAAGTCCAAGCGAAAACTTCGACTGAGCGTAATGAGGAATTCATGACAGATGAGGCATTTTCATATTTGAAGAACATCATCCTAATTAACCCCCATACACCAGATTATGTAAACCTGACACCTGGATATTGGATTTCTGAGAACATTTTAATTATTGAATGCTGAGCACGTTTGCAATGTTTTTAAAATATATATGTTTTATGTCGAGAGCGGATATGATTGAAAAACTAATGGTAGGATTGCTTCTTTAGCTACTAAACTGGATTGGGTTTTTTTTCTCTCCGAAATACCTTTGGTCTCCGGTTAAATTGCTGTCCGAATAGAATGCAGAATTGTGATCGTACTTGTGAACCTATCTTGCTCAAAATGAGCAAGAGAGAAGTGGTCATCTTCTTTGGTTCTTTCGGTAAAGTCACGTAGAATGAGAATAAAATAATAAATTGATAAAATAAAATAACACAATAATATTCTCACGACGTTTCGGCCACAACACAAGCGGCCTTCATCACCGAAACGTCGTGAGAATATTATTGTGTTATTTTATTTTATCAATTTATTATTTTATTCTCATTCTACGTGACTTTACCGAAAGAACCAAAGAAGATGAATCATTGCAGTCACGAAAGCTTTAAATCGAAAAAGAGAAGTGGTCAGTTATGTTGGTGGCTTTGAGACAACGGTGAACATTTCTCATTTCTGCAGTGGGACCAATCTCTTCGTAGAACCACTGTTGACTATTCCACAAGGTGACTGTTGATGGAACCCATATCACGATTTGAACCCACAACCTTGCAATCATGAGCGGAGCGATCTAACTGCAGCACCACCTGGACAGATAACTCAGTGGCTTCTCACGAATATGAGCATGGGAGGTCCTCCTCTCCGATCTACTGTTCTGAGCCTTTGAAATTCCACATTCCTACAGCAGGGGTATGCCTTCCCATAGAAGAAGCGTTGTAGATTGCTTACCTCAATGAGTACACCATATTTGAAAACAATGACATTGTGTCAATTTGCATGTAGATGGGTAAACATTTTCACAAAATGTCAAGTTATTTTTTTTTATTATATCAAATAAACACCTGCATGCATATCCTTAAAACAAAGCCCATCACATGTTATAGATTGAAGGCATATATGTAACTATGGCATATAAACCATGAATAGTAAAGGCCTGTGCACACTGAAATATTTAGCAGTGGCAATTTTATACCTAAAGTGAAATGGCATTTTGCTGCTGTTTACGGTCCTGCTTTCTGAAGAAGGCCACAATGCGAGCAAAATGTGTGTGCATCCTGCAGAAACATTTTAAATAAATAACAGTGCATTTTTTCTGGTCTGGCTTGAAGTTCAAAGTGAAACTGTACACTGAGTTTTATTTTTGTATTGCACTTTGAAAAAAAAAAGATTCGTGCATCTGGCTAAGAAATGGCTTGTGTTTGATTTTGAATCTTTGCACTCGTTTTTTTTTGCATTCATCCATGCTCACTCTGAGTCATGATCACAGGCAGTCACAATCAACGCGGTACAATTACCACAGAGTAAATGGGAGCAGGGTGAAGTCAGTTCGTCAATGTCACTTTGACGCCCATATTATTTTTGGCTAAGAAAACAACCATTCAGCAGAAGCGCAGAAAAAAAATTATGATGTTCCTAACGTTTGCGAACTAATTAAACCAAAGTTACTCTTGGCACTTATACCAAAGTTTAATTGGTGAAGAAAAGTTTATTTAATTATTAAAAGCTCACCATGGAAGTGCAGAACACTAACTGTACTGTCAGATGAGATCACAGCAATCCAGCTGATTTGTCAAATTAAGTTCATGTCTGCAGATCTTGAAAAGATAAAAGACTGAATACATATGCACCAGGTGTGTTCCCAAACATATAACATTAAACGATGACATTCTTGTAATAACGGACAGCTGTGAATTGTGACATGGCTCAAAATTTGAATATAAACCACCACTTGTACAACGTTCCATGTATAATTGGCACATGCAGCTGCAGCGTCTATTTGTTTACGTTAATATGTATTTATTTCCCCAGCAAATCTTTCCTGAGCTTTTAAGACTTTTAAAAGAGGGTTCTGCCTTGGGATATTTGGCTAGCTTATTATTTTTTTTTTCTGAATGTGGAAGTAAAGAAGAGTGCCCAGAGAAGATCCATGCTCATGAGATGGCACTCAAAATTCCACTAAGAAACCCGTCAGAAACTTATTTGATGGATTGCCTCCTATAGGCATCACCTACATTTCCTGCTCGTTGGTGTCTCTCACATACAACTCTGTTCCATCTCTGCGCAATCCACCAACCCCATCTTGAAGATGCTGATTTATAGGTTGAAATGTAACAATTGATTAATTGCACATCAGTGTTTCCATGTTATTTTATTCAGTGATCGATTATCATAATACCTGTTTTGTGCTTGCTGTGTGTGTAGATTCTGAAGTGGTATTAATATATATTTCATAATGGTGTAATTGCATAGAGTATGATTCAGAAAAAAATGATAATAACAAGTATTCCTAAATTACATGTGTGCACCACCCACACCAGGCAATAAGCAGTTTTAGTTGGCCAGTGGCACACTACATTTTTGTAGAGAGTGGCACTTGTGAAATTCTAGTCTGCGTAGTCTACTCATGTCAAGCTTTGCCAATATACCAATCTTTTCATTTCACATTCATAATTCCTAGCTTTAAAGTACATGGGCTCACAAACCAGCATGCACCGTCTCTAATGTGACATTTAGGTAAAAATGTACACCTTCTTTCCACCATGACCCACCATGACCCACCCTGGTTATGGCGGCATGCAGATAAGCACATTTAATGTGAATGGAATGGTCCACAGTTAAAACTGACGCTTGTAAACATTGTAATTAATGTGCTGCTTTGGTTATCAGGCTACCACCATTTGCCATTGTCTACTTTTATGATTGTGCATATTACTCATATAAAATGCCCTCCTGAATGTTTTGTTTGAATCTGCTTGAATGTAATGTTTTAGTAGATATGTAAATGCACCAATTTAGAAGATGGATCTGTCTAAAATTATACAGACTGCTGATTTCACATGTACTTCATCCAAATTATATGCATGCTGGTAATTACTTTTAGGGAAGGCTTGTTATTGTGAGTGAGTATAACGCAGTTTAGTGATTAGTGATCTAAGCTAAATGGAATGTTTGTGAAAATCATAGTTTTTATGCTTATATTCAAACAGATTTAACAAGTGTGCATTCTAGAAATATAATATGAAATACGCCACATAGTTATACAGTATGCATGGTGAAATAACATTTCATACAAGCAAGAAAAGACCCCGGGGCCGGCCCAGGACACGCTGGCAGGACTATGTCGCTCGGCTGGTCTGAGAACACGTGGGAATTCCCCAGGAAGAGCTGGAGTTTGTCGCCAGGGAAAGGGAGGTCTGAACCACCCTACTCAACATGCTGCTGCCGCGATCCTCGTCAAGACAAGCGGATTGAGGAAAGAACGAACGAATGAACAAGTAAAAACTCAACTTTTTCCCAATATTTAAATTATTGATGCACCAGTGGTTGTAGAAACGGTTTTACTTTGAAACTATTGCAACCGATGTGAAAATGTATGACTTTTGATGCCTCGATTTTACAATGCCTCTCGGAAATTGTTAAATAAATTCAGCATTAAATTGCGGTGATGGCTGATTATGAAATGGACAAAGATTATGAAAGCCACAACATTTTATTTGATCGAATGTCTCGCGAGGTTGCACTGATCGAGCCAGGCGGCACGATTGGTACAGCACTCCAATGCAAAAGGTTACGAGTTCAAATCCCAATAAGGGGTCAACTCAGCCCTACACCCCTCTGGGATTGATAAAATGAGCACATAAGCACCACCCTATTGTAAGTGTACAGTGATTGTCAGATGAATCGACGTGCCTATGCCATAGAAATCTAGCATTTCCTCCACTTGCTGAGGGTCCTGGAGGTGACCACTGACTCTGCTCGTTTGCACAAGAAGACACTTTGACAACAGTCCAGTGAAAGAAATGTAGATTTTTACAAATGTTTTAGTCATGTATTACATTTAGACATATTGTTTTAAAAGGCACAACTGTAAAATGCATGACAGCTCTGCATACACTGAACATCCTTCACAAATATGGCACAGAATGATGCATAATTAGCCCTGATTAGACATACACCTGAATGACAATGAGTTGCCTACATGAAGTAGTACAGCAAGTAGGTTTCTGACAGGCTTTTTACTTTAGAATATAGAGAGAGTCCCGCTATGTATAAAATGAGTGCAGAGTGCATTCTCATATGGGGATCCCGCTGTGGCGAGATCTTAACTACTTTACTTGGTATACAAGAGTACTTGGGTTCGATCCCAACCCTGATGCCTGTATATTTGGAGTTTGCACGGTCTCCCCATTGTCGCGTAGATTTTTCCCCGGGCCCTCCGGTTTTCCCTTCGCATTTATAAACATGCGTTGAGAGTATTTGGTGGCTATCCATTTTTTATTTAGTTTATATTGTATGTCATTGTATGGTACCTGACAGCCTTGAGGTGGTGAATGGGCACCAAGGCTGCACTAGAAGATTTTCCAGTCATGGGAGGGATGCGTTTCAAAGCTGAGCCCTCGATGTTCAGCGTGAAGTTGGTGGTACCCGGCAGTAGAGGTGGGTTCAGAATGGTCTCCTGAATATCGCACTTCAGTGTGACTGTGTGCGTGCGTGCAAGTGTGTATGTGAGAGTGTGGGTGTGGAGAGCAGTGGCGCAGTGGTTAGCACGCTACGCTATAAATCCGGCGACCCGAGTTTGATTCTCGCTCATAGCCAATACCAGTGACGGTTATCTCAACCAATCCTGTGTTTCCCATAGGTTGATTCAGCCTCAAATGAGTACCTGGTGTGATGTGGAAATATTGTCACTAGGGAGACAAAGGCAGCCGGGCGTGGTGCTGGCCACCCACCCCCTTGCGTGTCATGCTGGCTGTCATAGATGCTTGCAAACAGCACTTTGACAAGAAGCCTGTTAAGGTTATATGGGGGATATTTGTCTTTGATCATCATTATCACACTGCACAGAAATCCCAGCGGCCCTGGTTCAATTTCTAACAACATCCTTGGCAAGTGATTTATTGACCTCTTGACCTTTTCTGGGCCTCTCTTAGGTCAACACAAACACTTTTTGTGGTGGGCAAGCATCAGTACTGGGAAGACAAAGGTGGCCAGATGTGGTGTTGACTACACTACTGCCTCATGAGCTGTATCAGCCTTAATAGTTGTTCGCTGGCTTCAATGGGGAATCTTTGTCTTGCAATGTGAAGTAGAGTGCTTGAGAGAATGAATACTGCAATCACGATGGTCTTTTGTTGAGTGAAGCTAATGCTAATTCGAGCAATATAAACGGTTTTCGTAATGTGTACTCTTTTCCATCAAGTAGGAAGACATGAGCCCGTGGTTCGTTCTTCTTTATTGTTTTCGGGAAAAATCAATTTCATTACCCTTTCATAAATGGTTGGCCATATACATGGAATTAATGACACACTGACAAGGATATTTCTTATCTTTGCACAAGTTAAAGGTTCTGAGAAATGCATCGGTAAATGCACAGACTAGCGGTCAGCACCAACTCCTACCACTGGCTCAACGGTGCTAGCAGCGATTATTACGGGCCCATGTTCATTTGAGCAGGAAGAGACTTTTGACTTTGAAATTGCAAAAAGAAAACTATCGCAAAAGTGAAATTCTCTTCTTATCGTTTTGTTTTCTGTCTACATTGTTAGAACATACTGCTGAGGTTATTTGACTATGGTTAAAATATTTAAATTGTTGTATTCCACTCAACCATGGACCTTTACCGGACTAGAGCGAATAAATAAACCATCGCGGACCGACCATAACAGATTGTAACATGAAATGTTGATGAGGGCGTTAAAGTGCACATCTAGGAGACAGTTAAAAAAAATCATAAACTGGCATCAACAGACAGTAAAAAAAACCCCAAAAGTGAAGTGTTACCACTTGTCTACAATACACAAAAGCGCTTCACATTCCCCAGACGCCTGCCTTCTCTATTCAAAGCTTAAACTTGTCATATACGTGCGGCCTAACGGCTTACTAACTGAAAGGAGGCAGCAGCCGAGAGTTGCGAGTAAAAGCTAGGTCGGCCGTGAGCTAAACTACATGGACAAAGTCAGCACTGCACGCAGGGGCGACTGAAGGCTTATAACAATACGATTTGGATCTGTAAAGCATATAAATGCAGCCGCATTATCAAGAAGTTGCACAAAATAGTTCGGATGGTATATTTTTACGGAAAGATGAAGACTTTATGATTGAAGACACATTTCAAAGAACTGACAGTCACACGAGAGGCCAGGCAGGTGCCTCCCTATAAATTAGTTAAGTCAGTATGCTGCTTCCCCACTGAAAACACTGCCCCCTATAAAATAATTCTCAGGCAATCTGTCGTTTGGCTACCCATTAAAACATCCTTGGCACTAAGTCAATAAAATACATGTCCTTACTGTGCGGGCATTACAGCTTTTATTATTCAGCAGCCAGCCTATACAGCACGTTGGAATTTGGTTTGTAGCGTGATACCACCTGACGCGGTCTCCTGTTGCCACTAGGCAATCACATGTCATGCACAGGTGGGATAGTGTCGCAATGTGGACTGCATACTGATAGACTGTGTTTTAAGTGTAGTTTAGATACTGGCTATACCTTTTACACAAGCCTCCCTTAAGTAATTATTCTTCCATCATGCTAACTGCACGTGATCAAATTTCATTAATCAGAGTAAATTACTTAATCGCAATCTTGAGAGTAAATGTTTTGGAAACTAACTGCAGGCAACTGCAGCAGTTATACCTCTGAACAAATCATGCGGAATGTGCCCAATCTCATCAGATCTCAGACGCTAACCAGGATTGCGCTGTGGATAGAGCTTGGATGAGTGACCATCACGTACAAACAGGCTGTTATGGGGCCTGCAAGATTATCTGGTAGAGGGCAATATTGCCGTGTAGGTATTCGCAACTGTGCCTCGATATGTTTTGGGTATTACTGCATGTCCAGTGTTGTGCTGTAGTTGCAAATCCATGCTCTTTGCCTTCACTAACTTGCACTGACTGTTGTGGTTAAGTATGGTCAAATAACTCCCATGGCCCATGCAGTATGGGCAGGTCCAGATTGACCAAACATATATTTACCATAATCAAGGTATTCTCCAGATTATAAGATGCATTTTTTTCCCATATACTGAAAAATAAAATATATCATCTGGTATTACATTTTGTACCATATCTGTATAACTTTATTGACTCCTGGCACAAGTTTGCGGTGTGTCTTACCTTCCGGAATGTCTTATAATCCAGAGAATATTGTAAACAGTACATAAGCTATGTTCATCGACTGTAAATAACAAGTATTATGAAACAAGTCGTTGTGCAAAAATAAAAAATGAGATTGTATGTATGTATGTTGAACTTCTTTCGCACCGTACGTAGCCAACCGTGTCAATCGGAGGTAATGGAGTGCTGAATAACTGTGGTAAGCATATAGGCCAATGAAAATGGATGGTTAAATTCCAAGAACTAAATAGGCATTTTTATGGAACTGCATGTTTAAAGTTAACAACTTTAAAGATTACAACAAAGCCCTTTGCACCACCTAGCAAATCCCAAGCAAAGTGAATTAATATTTTTTTCCTCAATGAATACTATATCTGGTTTCTATTAGCGTTCAGTTTTCTATGTACAGTACTTATTTAAAAAAATGTTACTTCGTTTATTCGAGGTCTCTCTAGCATGATTATTTATATTGCCTTTTCAGTAGCCTTTCGCCTTGTTTTAAATAAAAGCTACTCGGTTCATTTTGGCAGTCATTCACCGACGTTCTAATTAGAATTAGCAGAAATTACTCCAAAAAATGCCTTTCTTTCGATTTACTGCAACTTAAATCCATTTATATATTATTAAAAAAAACTTTCAGCAGTATATTTGACCCAGTTTTGAGCAAGATATATATTTAAAATATGTATCCATGTTATCAATGTTTAAATCCCTTCTTACTCCAATAAACATTGCTCATTTGAGAAAACAAAATACACTGGCCACATCGATGTGGACTGCGACTGTGGAATTTTCCTGCTACCCTGCATTTGACTCTGGAATTATATAAACCAGAGTTCTCTTTTCAGCCTTTTCCTCACACTTTATACCCTAGCTGGAAACTCGGTGACATTAATTGTGTTTAAATGTTTCCATTTTTAGGTGGCCTGACAGCTGGCGGAGTGGTTAGTGAGCTCGTAGCTAGGTTAATTTTCTCAGTCGACAGTTCTATTCCAGCTAATGCGCAGTAATTTTGCAATGGAAATATAAGCGGCAGACAATGTGCAGTAACGTGTCTCGCCCCCTGCTCAAACGAGCAGGGGACGGCACTTGTTTCTGCTTGTGGCCCAGTGCCAGTAGTGGCACCTCCACATTCCCATGAAATAGCAAATTCAACTCATTATAGATAAAAAAATACTGATATTATTTGATTTAATACAGCATATACATTTAATTTATACACACGAAACTCAGTCCATTATCGATCCAAAGTGTTTATTCTGGAACAAAATCCTAAAAAGCTTAGATGTTCAACAGCACTAAGCTGCACTGTACTGAGAACAAAAAAACTCCCGTAGTTTTCACTTATCCTCTGTTAATGCCCTAAACACATTGCAATTCCATCACTTCAAAATGTCCTTGGTTACTCTTCAAACTAAACCACAATTTAATGCTGAGCTGTCGATTATTTATAACTTTACTTGCAATTTCAGTTCACATATATCCTGGTTAGTTTTCATATAAGTACTATAGTTACCCTATTTTTGTTTAACGTTTCTGTAACTTTAGTGAAATTATATTATAATAAGCCTAAAAATTATCTTCCTGTGCCGACTGACGTTCCAGGGAATTTATTATTTAACGTTGATGTTTGTGCAATCTTTAAAATGTCTAACACGACAGTGGTTTTTAATTGATTTATATTTTCTTCAGCGCTGCACTTTATTTTAATTGTTTTGCCTTTTTTATTTTGGTGATCCAGGTCACTCTTGCAAATGAGTCAATCGTCTTCTATTTAGTTCTCACCTGGTTAAATAAATAAAGGTGAACTTAAACGTGACTGCATCTCAAGATGCTTTAGACACAGTAGACATGTAGAATTATTAAAAAAACAAACCGAATCGGAATATTTATTTACGTATACTGGAGGAATTCGATGAGCTATGAAGCTCTTTTTCACAGATATCCAGTAGTCATATAGGCAGAGGGAAACATGAAAGTCTTGAGCCTGGACATGAAAGAGTAAAAGGGAGATGTAGCATGGATGAATGGGGCAAAGAGTTAGACTATAGAGGCAGCAGAGCAGATTGAGTGACCTCTCAATGAGTGAAGATTGACTGGGGGCTTCAACAGAAAGCCTTGGTTGCTGGAGTTGAAAATATGTACAGAGGAGTAGAGTTAAATTAATATAGTGGTGGAGTGTTTATTGTATAGTCCTGGACGAGTTGTAGAAATTCCACATTCATATGACAGAGGAAAGTCACCCCATGGGTCAGAATTTATTTTTGTGTTTAGTTTGTTGTCCTTCCCACACACTTACGATAAGAATGGTTGGTTACGTATGTTACATACATACTTTACGTAGTATGTTGCAGGTGTTTAGTGTTTACAAGTGCACATACTGCGTTTCTGGCCCATGATGCCACCGCCGCTGAGAGCAGATGGGAGGATGAGATGCAGATGCTCCCAGTCGGTCTCGCAGTCATGTAGCCAGCTCCTGAAGAAGCCCTCCAGGACCACAGTGCTTCCCTCCAGAGTTTGTACGTCAATTAAGCTTGACAGAGAACCGTCTGTGAGGTACATTACATTTGAATAGCAGAAGAGATGGAAATGTAGTTTAATAAATTAATACATCGGTCTGTTAAGCTCTTAAATTATCTCTTGATATGTCTCTTCATAGATCTACCAATATATTTATCTGTCTATTGATCTCAGTATGTGTCTGTCTACATATCTATCATCCAGTTGGGTGGTGTTGTGGATCATAATTGTAATGTTGATAGCTGCAAGTTCAAATCATATTAAGAGATCAATTTATGCTGGCTTCCCTCTAGGGTAAAAAAAAGCTTAATACCACTTTGTGGGAAATCAACTGTATTCATTGTATGAAGACTCGCCCTAGACGTCGAATATGGAATTACAATCCCTGGCTCAGGGTCGCCATATGACTAATTTGAATAGGGAGACATTTAAAAACTAAAAAAAAACTAAGAAGCAGGTGGAAGCCCAAGGTCGGTGTGTGGTAAAATAAAGAGGAAAAAGTTCACATCATTAAACTGTCGTGTGTAAAATTAGTTGTAATAAAGGCGAGCATGCTTAAACAAGTCAAAGTGACTCCATGCTCAAATGACTGTTGAGCAATTCTCATCTCCTTTGGCAGTTCAATGGTGGAATGTTCACATCTATTTAGAGTTGATTCCCAACTAGGATTTGAACTCACACCCCTCTGATTTGTGAGGTTGGTGCCCTGCCCGTGTCACCTGTCGAGATGGCCACCGACGACTGCTATCAAAAAGCATAGGTGTAAAAAAAAATGTTTCACTTCAATTCAATTGTGCCTAGCACTGAGGGCTTCATCGGAAAATGGACAGAGAACTGCACACACTTGTATTGGACAAGTGAAGTAGTACAGTCTAGTGGTTGCTGGTAAAACAGGCCGTATTGAAGAGATATTCGGAGGGTGGGGGGTTTGTTCTTTGATCCAAGCCCAATCAGCAAGGTGATGTTGGCGTCCATAATGGAAGTGTGAAACCTGCTCGGTAATGTGCCGTCATGTAACATTGTTCACTTTTCAGAAATTTCTGTTATGTCGCGACTGAAATGTAAGCCTTCCTCGATTATTAAAGCGACAACTTAGACATATTCAATAACCTATTTGTTGAGCTGGTTTGCATGGAGTGAACAGTACAATGCCAGATATAATTACCCAGCAATTCCTCCAGGGAATTACCAAAAAGTGGATGGTAACGACCCTGCAACATAATTGGCATTGTTATAACCAAAACTTGCTGGAGACTTTAAATAAATGTATTTATTAAAAGTAAAAAAAAACCTCAATCCATTTACAGCTACAAAAAGCAGATCTGTCTTGCAAAAGGGAGAATACAATGATTAATTCGTTGTAATAAGTTGTTTTTGCATTGTAATTTTCGTTTGGGAATATTCTGCCTTGACAGCAACATACTGTACTGTGATACACCACATACATTCAAATTGACATAGCTTGGTAGTTTGGACAGAATGTACATCTGCCTCCCAGATTTCAACAGAGAGTATTGGCTAGACATAGGTTCCAATATTTCATCCAATTTTCCTGAACAATAATATGCTCCAGATAATCCGAGCTGAGAAATGATGCTACTTTCTTATGAAGCAGTGCGAGTCCTGAGTAATGCACACATAGGTGAGGCAGATTTTACAATTTTATCAGGACAGTGGTATGTTAAACAATGCACAGACCATTATAGGTGAAGCATATGAATGTCTCTGATAAAGTCATGAAGTCTGTTCACCTTATGCACAGCACACATCTTTTTCATTATTATTGTTATCATTTTGTTTCCATCATCGCTATTTTATAATGGTACTCATTTTTCGTTGCGGTAAACCTTGTGATGAAAATACGTTAAAGAAAATACATTATAGCATATCAGGGACATCATCATAACCATTATCATACGCATGAATAGTATGCAGTGTGCCATCAGGCCAAGATTTTTCTCAGAGCATTTCAGCAGCATAACACAAGGACTTGTATTCACATCATACAAAATACTCTCATATTGATGTAATTCCAAAACCATTACTGCAGGACAAATCATATATGGCCTAAGTTAAGAGTAGGCCAAATCACCAAATGCTTCATGCTGGGTAATTCCAAAAGTTGCACCTCTTTTCCTTCCAAGTAGAAATGAGGTAGCATTGTTGATCATAATGGTCTGTTTGTTCGTGCAGGTGCAGCATTTGTATATGGGACATGCTGTGAATTCTAGAAATGTCTTCAGACCATAACACAGGTGTGGCCACCCTCATTCAGCCTTTTGTCAATCCACTGCTGGATAAAGGCCCCCCAAGCTATGTCGCTCATGCATATTTTTTTTACCATACTGGTTTGGTGAAGGGACAGGGGGTGGGTGGGACAAAACCAATTCAGATTTTACATGCAACTGATGCTTATCCATGGTTGGGAATCGGACGTAGGTAGCTGGGTTCATAACGCAGCATGTTAGCCACTGCATCACTATTCATAGTTTACCTAATAAACATGCAATGAGAAGTATTGATGGGATGTAAGTCGCCAAGGTGTCTTAGTGCAGTACTGTAAGTGACTGCTACGCAGTGCAGACCATCAGTAGCACTCAATGCTGATGGCGAGGGCATCATCTCCGATCTGAGGCTGTCTTCGCTGGTGTCTTCTCTCAGCGCCAAGCCCTGCTCCCCCAGGTCCGCGCGTACCAGGTCCACACGAACCACCTGCACCCTCTTGAGGCAATCCAGCTCAGCACTGGGCAGGCAGCTGTGAAGCAATCTTATGATGTTCGCTCTGCCCGACCACGTCACCACGGTCACCTGAAGTGTAAGGGGGGGGGGAGGCATTGATGTGGTATGTTGTTGGGAGTATAGATAAGTAGATATAGGCATAGATATATCTATATGGATAGTATGGATTGGTAGATACATATATAGTAATAGCGGTATAGAAAGTTGGAAGAAAATAAAATTGGATGGACAAATTGATAGACTGTGGATAGATATTAATCCAAAGTATCTCCTTGCTCCAATGAGTAATGGAACAGTGCTCATCTGCCTTGGAGGCAATGACCTGTTTGTGGAAATTCTAAATTTCTATGGCAGTGGCTAGTCTCTCTATAGATGAGCACTATTAACTTCCCACAAAGTGGTACTTGTTTTATTAACTCTTATGTAGACTCCCCGATGGGATTTGAACTTGCGACCCACAGATGCGAGTTGAGTGCTCTCACCCACAGTGCCAACCAGGAGGATGACACAGAGCCAGAGATGAATAGATATACTTCAAATGGATGAGAGCTCATTGAGAAAGGCATCTCTATTGCTGGATTATGAATATGGGCATCACACTTGGCTGAGGTATGAATGCTACACATAATCATCACCATGAATCAGTGTATTTTTTTCATGCAAAGCCATTTACGATCACACATTTTTTAATAAAAGGCCTTAAGCAATCAATTTCAAATTACTTCAGGATACATGATTTGAGCTTAGCATACTTAGTCTAAATATGGATACTTTAAAAGTGGTCATGGTACCAGCACAAACAAAGAAACATATCCTCTGTATATCCTTAACAGACTGTTGGAGCAAGTGCTATTAGCGAGGGGGTGGGTGGCCAACACCACTCTGGGTTGCCTTTGTCTCCCGAGTGCTGATGTTTACACATCACACCAGGTACTCATTTGAGGTTGAGTTGACCTAGGGGAGGTCGAGGATCGGTTCAGATAATCGTCGCTGGTGTTGGTCGTGAGTGGGAATCGAACTCGGGTCGCTGGGCTCGTAGCGCAGCGCGCTAACCCGCAGACAAGCACACACACAGTGTGTCTACTCTTAATAATGTCCCAAGTTTGTTCCATCTGGTGGATTTACTCATTGGTAATTCCATGCAGTAATTACAGGGCTACTGTGGGAATCAAAGACCTGACCCCATAAACATTTAACTGACTCAGTGGGGAGGCAGCTGACCACGAGACTAACCCAGCAACACTCTGTTCTTAGTTTGGACACAGCATGAGTATATTGTGTTTTATATTTCATTTAACCTCCCTGTGGTTCAACATCGAGTGAGTGAAGCATAACAACAGTTCACAATATTTGAAGTAACTTTACATATTTTGTAATAGTTTAACTTATTTCCTGCTGAAATGTCGGGAGGTCCTAATCTTCTGTTTACCTTCCTGAGCCAGTGACAGCAAACATTCCCTTGTTAAGGATGCCTCGTTGAGATAACCACAATTGGCTTCCCACAAAAGTGGTACTCATTTTAGTGACCCAAAAAGATTGTTATTCGATCCCCGAATGGGTTCTGAACTCACAACTTTTTCATCTAACCAGTGTCACCCGAAAACATTTTGCAAATATATAAGCGATGAAATAAAAACACTGTGATATGGTATATAACAACATGCCTTGCTTTCTCCCTACACACTATTACCTGTGATGGCACTTGTAATACGTTGACACTGATGGGTTTTGTATCACTTTCCTGATGATAATAGCGAGCTCACTAAAGCTAAGTGCTTCGCAATTTCGTCAAGAAATCAGCCTCGTATCATGCTGGGGGTTGAAATGCTATTCGAAGCCAAAGTAAAGTCAAAACTCTCTCAGGGGCTGCATGTTTATTTATTTCTAAAAATGCCACTGACGCAGAGCCGTCAGGGTTATACAATCTAGGGCCGGGGCAAGATACATTTAAAGCTGTTGAAAGCCAAAGAACATAGGGAAGGAGCTCAGATTGAGAGGTTTGTGGTCAACAGAGTAATTTCTTGCATTATGGACTAACTGGGCTAATATTTAGCACTTCAACTTGTTTGCCGACATGTATGCATTTAGTGGGTCCATGAGGGATCAGAGAGCCTGTGGGTAATTTCCTGTTTGGTCTGTGGATCAGATCTACCACTAAAACCATAGCTGTATTACATCACTGTCAAAATAACTCAGTATGGACCATAGACGTGTCACCAGTGCCAACCCAAATGTGCTGCAGATTACGGTTAGTGGTGACAGTTTGGTTGTGCGCAGATACGCATTAGTGATGATCCTTTTGCATCTTGCGTACGTAGAGTTTTGACACCACTGCCAACCAAACACTAAAACCATGCAAACATGCTGTCCAAATGAAAAAAAGAGCCTCTTGACATTATGCCAAAAATGTAAACATAACTTAAGTGTGGCTTTTAAAGCATTTGCTCTCAGTTGTTTGAGTCAGAGCTCTTCAAATTATGATTTTTTTTGCTGCCTGGCACTCTACTGCAGTGGTGCCGAATAAATCAGGCAGCTTAGCGACCGCGTGACATAACAGCATAGAGGGTGTAATTTGCTTCTCAATAGATAATGATGTTGACTGTTATAGCTCACCTTGAGCAGAGGGTTCAGAGATCCGAGCATAAAGAGAGTGGTGCTCGCAGCGCCGATTATGTAAATCGGCAAATGGCACTAAAAATAAGTGAGCGAGGTAGTTGGATGCCTCAGGAGGGCTGATACCTCGTCAGAGCATGCAGCAAAGCACTGTTGAGACCCTGGTTTTGAATTTACGTTTCAGTCACCCGCGATTGAACTAGGCAATTCAGTATAGCAAGTAGATGGTCTCAGCCCAATCATCAACGACTGAACCAAAACAACTACGTTATATTTGCTTTTCCAATTATTTCAGCATAATCAACTCTGTAGAATAGTGATATGTTTGATGTAATTGTCATGTGAGCAGGGCATGTGTACAGGTGCACCGCCTCGTGTCAATAAGAGGCAATTTAAAGGGACCTCATCATGGCCGGCATGAGGGTTGTGCAACCCGTGTGACCAGACAAAGCGTCGTGATAAGGGAGGTGGCAATATTTTGTACCTTGCAATTTTCCTAATACCTTACATAAGACCACACTAAATCAAGGTCGTGCTGGTGGAGTTTGCACAGGGTGCCATTTCCCATAAGGCCGGCCCTGGACTTCATCATATTCCTGGGGATTTTGTCTGACAAAAAGTGATATACCTTTGACTGTGAGATTAGATTGTTTTTCTTTTGTTATCGTACTGCATGACTTTGATAGCAACAGCAGCGCTCACCTCAAGCATACACCTCTTCAGGCCGCCGCTCTGTCGCAGCTGAAGCAGCTGGTGTCGGAAGTTAGCCAGAGCGTCTTGCAGGGCACCTTGGAGACCGTCCACACGGTGATCCACAGGCGCCACCCTCGCCAGTGATCGCAACTCACGCAGGCACTCTTGCATGCGTGCGTGGCCGCCCTTCACCTGCTGCATGAGGCAAAGACATGGCAAAGCACACGTCGACAGGCCCATGCGTTGATCCTTGCACTACCTCATACTCCGTCAGTCTCCATTGAAATTATGCACTGCAGCAATAATAGTAATAAATCTTGACTTAAAGCTTTCGTGATTGCAGGAATACATATTCTTTGAGTCTTTCGGTAAAGTCACGTAAATAGGTTCAAATTAATAAAAAGAAAATAAACATGAAGCTACGACGTTTTGATCACAACACAAGCGATTGTAATCAGGAGGAAAACAAGGAATATAATAATAGTATTGTTATTTAGTTATTCATGAAAGCCTTACTGAGTTCCATTACTTTTTTCAGAATGTATCTGCATTAGGATGTTGATCCAATTCATTTTTAAGGAGTGTTTTCACGTGAAGAAACCAGAGCATTTGAAAAAAACTCGAAATGTATGAGAGGATGATACTCAAAAATCCACAGATATCTTCATGAACCCACTTTCTGTACTGCCGTCTCCTGGCCAACGTATAGCCCAGTGCATTTAGGAGTTTCAGAAATCTATGTGTACCATGATGTATGACAATAATATAACCATGATCATGGGCCATGGTCTATTCACTGCTGAATGAATGCCTCCCCACACTATCACCATCCCTCATGGTCCTGATCCATCTCATTCTGGCATATGAACTGACCTCATTGCACTATCTCTGTGGTTCATCTCCACTCGGGTTCATTCTTTCCTTCGCCTACCACTGTGTCAATTGTTTTGCTGATCGACCATCATTTCCTTCTAGCAATGAGTCATGCCCAAGCTCATTGACTTAAATGTCAATGTGATGTTTGGCAAAAACCTGTATAATGTCAAGAGTGTAAGTGTCCTTGTGTACAGATGAGTGCGAGGTGCCTTTCATCTCCACTGGCAATAGTGGCTGGTTGTGAGTTAAAATTTCAGCTGGGGTGAGATTCAGCCCATTGTCTCCCTGAGGTTAAATAAATAATTACTGCTTTACAGAAAGTCAAAAGTGGTTGTTCTATGGATATAACGGGCCCCACGATATACAGTCAAGCTCCATTTATCTGGGGTAAACAGGGGGGACAGGTACCCCAGTTCCAAATATCCGGGGTCCCAATCGGGGATTCACTCATTTATCTCGGGAGCGTGACCACAGATAACCCGGATGATAGGTGTCAATATGTTAACTACCTCACCTGTAATACAGGAGGTCGTGGGTTCGATCTCGACCCCCATTCCCGTATATTTGGAGTTTGCATGTTCTCCCCATGGTCGCGTGGATTTTTCTCTGTGTTCTCCAGTTTTTCTCTCCACATTTACAATCAATATACGTTTAAAGTATTTGGATGCTATACATTTCCACCTGATGAGCCACTTCATTGAGCTATCAATTGTGGCCAGGTTGCTTCTGAAAAAGAACTATATAGCTCAGTGGGCCTTACTTGGTAAAATAAAAAAAATGTGTTTAGTTCAGTTTAGGATATTTGGAAGAATCCCGCCTACCTGTAACACATGGCTAAACCGTCATCAAATGGGGCGTGGCCAGTAAACAAGGGTGAGGGGGCTCTCGAGGGTATTCTTTGATGAAGTTTAATCACACGTCACAGAACAATGTCGAAGGTCAGGTGTTTGCCCCTCAGGCACCAGTCCTGTGGGGTCTCTCCTAACAAGATTGCAAGAAAGCTACCTTCCCATAGCCATCGCTTGGAAGCAACTGCTCACCTGCCCAAAAATAAAAGTAGTCATTATGAATAGACATGGAATTTGCATCACTGGCTTAGAATTATTAAAGCGCTCATTTTACCAGTGGGACACTACGGTACTTCTTGACATTACATTTATATACCTGTTTAATATCTTCTCATACTCAACCAAGCATTTATTGTTGCTCCTATCCATTGGCCGACCAGGACCAGTGGCAGAAATTCCATATTCCTTTGATGGGAACCAATCTCACCATAGGAGAGCCACTGTTGACTTCTCATTGAGTGGAGTAACCTCACTAGGAGGTGCTCTTTTTACAGACCCCAAAGGGATCACAAGCTGAGATTGACCTTGGCTGGGTTTAACTTTCAATCTCACAACTGGGATCCCTGTTGCTCTGTCAAATGTGCTATATCACAGCCCACTATACTACACGTATGCAGCACTTCATTATTTTAGTTTATTGTCTCCCTTCAGAATTGTGCTTTATCCAAACACCCTTACATCCCCTGTTGTATAAAAACACCCTTGTAAAACAACTGTGCTCCGCCAATTCTTTTTCAAATTATTTCACCTTATCTTCCCTCCATTGCACAGCATCTTCGAATAAGATATGTTCAAATGCCTTATGAACCCACACTGTAATATTGTTTAATTGTGTTTGTAAATATTTCCTAATAATATACAACTTTTACTCATACATCATTCAGCCACGTAGTTCCATTGTTAGAGCTCACAGCTCACATTTGGAAGGTTGCGAGTACAAATTCATCCCACCTATCATCTCTCCATAGCTTTTAAAATTAATACCATGTTGTGGAAAACCAGTACACTATTTTACCTATGGATAGACTAATCTCCACCATAGGAATAGGTAATTAATCACTGGCTCATGGCTGTAAATGTGAAATAAGCACTACCCTACACATGTTTTGAGATAGAAATCATATTGACATTTTATCACAGTAAAACATTTGGCACCAATGAATCCAAAAAGTGGTTAATGAAGTTGAAAAATCAACCAGAGATTTCTAAACATGTGGCTAAATGGAAACAGTTTTTTTAATATTTATATCTTCAAAATCACCACCACCAACATAATAACCTGCTTGCAGTTCTCAAACCTACACAGTGATGTTCAAATTGGCTTGCCACGGTGAATCTAGGTAGGTTTGTCAAAACCACACACACTCGAGGTGGCTAGAAATTCTGTTTCCCAATCATTGGTCTCCCCTCTCAGAATGAGCCCTGCAAAAGCTATTTGTTGAAAACCATAACGAAAAAAACAATTGTCCTCAAGTGACGCTGATGGAGCCTGCCGCTCTCACTGTTTGCTGTTGAGATTGAAATACAGCTAATACAGTACTGCCTTTCATTCAATACCACTGTCATCCTTCTTTTGATGCCCCTTGTAGATTTTTTGTTGGCAGTAAAATGTGGCTAAATGCCACGGTTCTGAACACCAAAGTAGCAACTGTTGCTTGGCTTGGCACTAAGTAAACATCACCTAACTTGTACTATTATCTTGATCTCAGGTTTGAATTAAAAAGGACAGTATTAATGTACATGTCATAGCAATGAGCTCATGTTGCAGAGAACTATGGTTAAAGTCTATGCCAGTCCAGAGATCAAATCAGGTTCTTAAGTTTAGTGTGTTGATGGGCCTGTTTGTCCAAGCTTGGTCCACGCCAATTACTGCATGGGTAATTTAGCCTACCTCTGCTCTGAGGGTTTAAATTCACTGACGTAAATTATTGACATTCTGTGCAGCACTCTTTAAAAAAACATTAATGAGACGTTAAAAGTAATGTCAATAATTGGTATTTCCTGCCACGATTATTCTCTGTTGACTGTAGGTATTCCAGAATTATAAATGTCTCATGCCTTGATTTTGCTATCACAATTTGGATATATAAATGTTAAAATGCTATCAAAACTGTATTATCAACATCAATTATTCAAATAAAATATAAGAGAGGATGACAGGTCTGAAAACTATTTCAAACAAAAAGTGAATTTTTGCAATTTTATTCCTACTGTGCTGTGGGACTCATGTCGATGTGTAATTTTACATTTGGTACACTCAAAGAAAGCAGTCCATCATCCCACATTAGTGATTGGCCTCTGGAAGATGACATCACAGAACTACTCGAGAGGTCCCTCCAATTGCCCCTTAGACATAGTTATCAGTGAAAAAGCTTTTCACATGACCTATTATAAGAGGAATCCATCGCCAGGCGATCAAACCACCATTTTATTTCTTCCAATCCTGGAATAAACTTAATGAGTTGAAAAAGCAAATTTTTTTCCCCTGTGCAGTCATTGGTGACCATACAGAGGCCATCAAATTGCTATATTGGAGAATCTAGTTTAATCATGGGTCTTTGCCTAGCTCATTACTCTGACACAGAATTAGTTCTATGAGCCAACCAAGCAACCTCCCATCCTAAAACATTTTTTTTGTTTCCTCTTCTAGGCACACACCATCCTATCCTTACCAACTTCATGAGAGCACAGCATGGGACAAGAAAACAATTATCGAGAAACAGAGCTTATATTCCATAATCCTCTCTTGCAGACAATCGTGGATAACATATAAACAATTAAATGTTTCTATATCTGCATAATTTCTCTTTTCATCTCATCAGCCTTTCGAGACAAATATTTTACAGCAACATTTGTTGAAATAGTTTTTTGCCTTCTGGGTCTTATCAGCGAGTCAGGCCTTTTAAACCAATGCTGCTGTATTGCCAGATGTTATTGGTCAGAGCCATTTACTTAAGTTACATGGGACCATTCAGGCAAGACATCACAATTGTAAAAACAATAATTACGCACTGTTGCAGAAGATAATGGGTAGCCTATGAATAAATAGTCATAAGTCAATTTGTCTGCATATTTTGTTTCAGGCCATGAGTCAAGTAACACAAAAAGTGTATTACTGTGAAGTAATGTTAGGCTTACTTGCAACACCTCCGATTAGCAGGGTTGGCTACGTATGGTGCGAAAGAAGTTCAACATATGAACATTCATGTTCAGTGTCTCTCTCAAAAAGTGTTTGCATGCTCAAATCAGAAATGTGATGGCCCTCATCTCCATTTGCGGTCTTGAGCCAGTGATGTGAAGTCCACATTCCCATGATGGGGGTCAGTCTCTCCATGGAACAACAACTGTTGACTGTGAACAGCGGTGCTTATAGTATTGACCCTAAAAGAATGAAGAACCAACTTAGGCCCTTCATATTGTAAGCTGAGCACTCTAACCACAGTGCCACCCAAGCAGATAATTCTTATGAGCAATGCCTGCATTGGAAACGTAGGAATAGTGTAGTGTTTATAATGACGAATACACTTCTTATGAGGCACACTCTGTTTATTGTAATACTTCTCTTTACACAGTCTTTAACACAGAGGGGTATACGGTCCCCTCACCTGATACCCTAAGAAGGTACAGCCTCCGGACTTAGCGTGACCTACATACAGGTCTCTTCCTAACCGAAGGAGGTACAGCCCCCTATCTTGGCAGGACTTACTCACACGTCTACCGCTATCCTAGAGTCCTCCGGCTGGGACCTAGGGGAGGCTATCTGACCCACCGCTGGCCCGGCGGGTCTTGACCACTGGAAACGCCGAGCCTTAGCCCTCAGAAGGGCTGGAAGGCTGGGTCCAGGGTCCTGGCTATCTTCAGCCCGGGCTTCGGTCTTCGTGTAGGGAGAGAACTCCTCGCGCTCTGCACGGTCACCCTTCTTATACCCGTATGTGGCCAGGTGTAACCAATCCCACATTCCCACGTGGAACTGTCTGATTGGTTTTTACCAAACTGTGGCTACGATCCACTTCACCTCGTCTGACCCCAACCGTTATGTACACAGAGGTAACGCTGCACTGCCCCTTTGATACCTAGTGGCAATGCAGGTTACCGAACAGTGAGTAGTTAACGCCTCTAAAATAGTATGACAATAAATCTGAGCTTATGCATAATATTGAAATGCAATTCTCAAAGTGTTTTGACTGCTCCTGTGCACCTATTTAGCATGCATGTAGATGCATTATAAAATGAGAAAGGAAATGTACAATATTTATTAGTGGCAGAAACAATATTTAAAGCAATGACAGCTCTGTCAATAGGTAATTTTCCTAACAAATGTTATGTTACATGCTATTCAATTATTACTTAATGAATTTAAAATAAATACTGGATCTTCTGGATAGCTGTAATGATATGTGACCTTAAGCCTCAACCTACAATATCATATAAGGTCAGCTTGCCTGATATTAAATTGCAAATGAGCATTTTGACTATGTGCTATCGTGTAAACAAATGTGTGAACTTAAACAACAAATTTGTGGTTACATGAAAATGGAATTCAGAAACAAATTAATGGCAAAAATATAAATCAACAAATATGGAATGATAAAAATTCCTATTAAATTGTGCAGACATACTTGGACAGTCAGCTATAGGAAAACTAAAATGCTAACACATCAGCCAGAGCTTATTTGCCAAATAAGATCCTTACACTGCCTCTATAAGTACTTTGAAATATATTTAATGACTGATAACAACTACATTTGTGATGTTTGGGATAGTAATGATAAATTGGTATGCTTGATGGAATATAAATGGTTTTCTATTAACACAAATATAGTGGTACTTCTTTCATGCTTACAGCGTTGAACCATTGATGGAATTCTACATTCATATGGTGGTGTGGCATCACCCCTTAGGACTTCTCACAAAGTGGTACTCGCTTTATGATTGCTCTAAATTAATAAATCGCCGACCCCAGAAGAACCTGATTTCAATTTACGCAGCAAATAATGGTCTGCACTGAATTACACCAGAATATCGCACAGCAGATGCGATTATCTCCCAGCAGATGCGATTATCTCCCACACACCAAAGGGAGATTTAAGAACAGCCCGTAGTGTGGCTACATTCACCAATCTCAAGCGTATATTATAATTGCTGGATTTTAAACATTCACTCACAACATTTCAGATGTTCACCAGGCTACTCCTGAAGCCGGCTACTGCTTCACCAACATTGACATGAACATATAAATGTTACTGATAAACTCCCCACAATAAAAAAAGATCACCCCGAACCCTACAGGGATGAGCTGACTCAACACCTGACCAAGATTTGACCGTGAAATGTGCACTCTAATCAAATGTGCCACTGAGCTATCTTTAATTCTAAAGCTTCCGACTAAAATGAGTAGCATGCGGAAAAGTGCATTTCACTGCCACCTTAAACGATGTTCATGCATATTCTTCATTTGAGAGCTGACATGTGGAAAGCACTGTATACCCCCCTGTTGAACAGTGGTTTTGGAAATAATATGCTTTCATAGATGTTTGAGTTTGTGCCAGGAAAATCTGTATTTTTGAGCATGAGTAAAGGCAAAGCAAGTTGGAGATGCTGCTATTCCCTCAGATGTACATTTTTTTGATGTATGCAACCACGAGAGCCACATAAGATGTATGATCTCGTTTATGAATTAAAGAGATGTGTACAGTATAAGAAGCAACAGTTTATATTTAAAGTATGATGAATAATAATATTGATGTATTTACCCAGGTGAGCTTCAACAAAACACTTATTCAGGTTCCTGCTTGGATGTCAGGCCAATCCTTTATTAAATACCAGCAGGAATCTCATTGAGATGCAATGGTAATACATTACTTTGGAGTATTCAGGCAGTAAAGCTACAGGTCAGTAATTTAATGTTATCTGCAAATTGTTTGCATCATTATAATTCAAATATCTATTCAAATTGAACCCTATTTGTACTCATTTGTTTTTGTTAAAACATGATTTTATATATTTCCTTGTTTCCCAGATGATATTACAATTGTGCTGGCATGAAGACAATTATGTTTGGCACTGTTGCAGTAATCCGTGTACTATCCTGTGTCAGTGCACGACCCTGTGTTCCTTCCATAGACTTCTTTTACCATATCAGGAGCACTCTTTTATATGCCCTGTAAACAGTGTTTGTTGCTTGTCAATAAAACAAAAATACTTAATTGTCAGAGCAGGGTGATTCTAATTTAAATGAAAAGACAACTTTTTAAATGATAGGATGTTTTTTTTAACGAACTATTTGGTGACCTGGTTGAGACCAACCATTTGCGGTTGAGTACCCGGTTCAATCACAGGTGGCTGAGTGGATTTAAACCCAGGGTCTCAGTGGTGCTGACGCAGGTGCTCTGGACACAGTATTCCAAGCATACACATACACAAACCTTTTAAGAAACGTTTTCAAACCTATTGGTTTATATTTAAAGTCTATTCACAGCTTGAGTGTTGTACAAAAATGCGACTGTGTGTTTCATTTGAAAACCTATTTCTTTATGTAATAAAGAAAATATTTAACAATTGATGAGTTTGAATATAAGTACTGTATCAAATTGCCATTCACGGGACACGGAGCCCTGGGAGTCATTTCTTGAGCGCAGTGTTATCCAAGGTTGCCTGTAGGGTGAGTTATTGTTTTTTTACATTCATTTTTTCTGTTTAATGTTTTCTTTCCTTTAGTTCCTCTTATACGTCAGGTCAGTTAAGTTCACCGTCAAAAACAGAGCTGTACCTGAACTAAGATGAATACAGCTTTACTGTAGAGCTGAGCTTCTTACCCTTTACATCATTATTTAAATGGAGAGAAATGTTTAATATGAAAACCGTTAGTTATTGTACACAAGATATACACGCTGCCATGCAACAATGCAGCATGAGCTGCTCCAGGTAATTTTTAGATGTTCATAATACCACACAATCTCCTACTCATGGGCATTAAACAACAGGATCTTTATAACATTAACTTAAAAGGAAATCGTACGATTTGTAAAAATACACAGAAGAAAATAATTTCCAGAACTGTTATCTGGTCTCTTTCACAAAGAAGTAAATGTTGGATGCGAGGTGGTTTGTAGCGAGAGATGGTTTATTCCATTTTGCTTGCTTTTACATCAAACCATTAAAACATCATGCAAACTCCGGTCATCCTGACAAAGAATTTTGGCTAGCCATCAGACAAAGACGGCCACTGCATAGCACGCTTTCAGATGCGCTTCTGCGGCCGTCTGGAACACTCTTCCTTCCAATATTAGGAAGCCTCTGGAGCTATGCACTTTTAAATCTAGATTAAAAACTAATTTCTTTAGAACTGATTTTTGTGTTTAGTTTGTTGTTCTTCCCCTGCACCTCAGATTAACACGGTTGGTTACCTACGATGTTAAATAAGTTCAACATACATAATAACCACATTCCTGCCAAAACATGAATCATGGCCATTTTCTCAGTGCATGATCTTCTGGTTTAAATAAAAATGTTTATTGATTGTTCATTGACTGATGGAATGTGCAAATGTTCTGAGGCACGCAGGCTAACCACTAATCTAAGCCAATTATATTGGAACATGGCTGTGATGCTATGGAAGGAAGAGTTGGCAGATCAAGCAGTTATACCAAACTGGACTTACTTTGGTCAGGTAGTGGCATTCTGAGGACCTTTAATTGTTGCTCCCCTATATGCACAGATACTCAAGTTTCCTCCACACTAAAATAAAACTGCTTAAAAAAAGAATGAGCTAAATATCCCATTGTGGGACGTGCCTGAAAAAAAGTGTTGAGCCCCATAAATACTTTATTTTGAATATAACAATCCATGTGACAGGCATTACTTTACAGGTCTCAGTCAATCCACTGCAGGACCTACCATACTTGGGTCATGGGCGTTCTTTGAGAATATTTCACTATGTTGGTGTGTTGAAGGGGGGCCAGGGACTAGTTCAGATATCACTCACGGACGATGTTAGCCATGGATGGGAATATAATTAAGGACACTGGGTTCATCATGCAGTCTGCTGACAAAAAATTAACATAAAAATTACTCGAGTCTCAGTGCAATCACAAGGTCACTCACCACGAAGGGAAGCAGGCACTCAAACGTCCCGTGCACGATGTAGAGGCTGAACAGGGGGATGCGGCAGGGCCCACCAAGGTGGCACGCAACAGAAAAGAGGCCGTCCAGCGAGTGGCACAGCAGCTCGCAAGAGTCGGTGCCGAAGGGCGGCGTGCAGTCTACGATGATGCAGCGGCACGGCTGCCGTGAGAACGCAGTGCGGTGCGTGACCTCGGCCGCTGAGCTCATGACACCTGCATGCACAGTGGGAATGGTCGTGTATGTTTGTTAAACTTCTTTCACACCGTATCAATGCCAACCGCGCGAATCGGAGGTGCAGCCTCGGTGACTAATAAGGGTCCTCCGATGTGTTTTCGGATTGTGTCGCATGTTACTTGGCACTATGTCCAAAGTTTCGCTCCACGTGCTGGGAGCTTCTTTTCGGGAATTATTGCGGAACATTTGCTGAAAGAGCTCTCAGCACGCTGAGTGAAATGTCGGCCCTGAGCTGGGAATGGTTCTTGAAGAAGCTTCCAACATGTGGACTGAAACGTTAGACATCGTGCCCGACAGACACGCGGCACAACTTGAAAGCACATCAGACAGCTCTACAGCACATCCGCGAATACCCACAACGTAGTAATAAGTGGGGATGAAAATGAGGCGGACGTGCAATTTAAAAGCTGAATACCGCATTATAATTAAAAGCCACATAAATCTATGCATAAAGAAGTCCGTGGATATTATCTGTTGTGACATGGGTGAAAAACACGGGCATGACAAATAAAATGGAACGAAAGCTGAAGAGTGTGCAACGAAGCATAGATATGCATGCTTCTCATTAGAGATAGTGTAATTCTCTAATGTACATATTCCTCTTCATATTTAGGTATTTGGAAACTCTACCTTATATGGGTTCACATGACTCTCATTGCCACGAGAACGTGTTACATTTGTAGTGACATGGCATGGGTCACAACGTAGCATAGCGCGGGTTGCTGGCAGAGAAGGTGATCTGCAGTTGCAGCAGCCCTGTCTGTCAGCAGGTCACGTGATAAGTCAGAGAGAGGGATGTAGGGGAAAGGCGATAGAGGGGGCACGTGAGGTAAGCCCGGGAACCCGTGAGTAGGTTCTAGAAGGGGGGCGTGGCCGGGGTGGAGCGAGGCCACGCTCGGAGGATAAAAGGGGACCCCGAGCGAAGGCTCGGAGCTGTTGCTTGGAGTGGGATCCTGTCGTGCTGCTGAAGTCTTCGTCGTCTACGTCTTCACCTTCTCGACGTCGTCAGTGAGGCAGTCTGCCAGCTGTCCTGACTGAGAGTTGTAGTTACCTCTTGTGACCTGTGAAGGCTGATACAAATAGTGCCTCCTACTCCTAGTGTCTCTTAGTGCATCACTCCACATTCACCACAATTGAAAGAAATACGGATTTGTTTTAATCAAATCACGATGCCTAATTGAGACAATGTATTTAATTACAAGTGGGGGAGAAACGTTATAGACTTTAAGAGACATGTCTCGCCATGTCTGGTAAGCCTAAATGTTGCAATTAAGTGACTTTCCACGTGGAACAATATTATTATTCTGAGCCTTTTCTTGTTTAGAAAATATATTGGATAATTTGAATCAGCAATTACATCGCAACTTTGCAAGTGGAGTTATTATATCATGAGACGGAGACACTCGCAGGAAATTCTTACAGTTGGCATGCCAGTATCTATCTCGAACAGAAGCTGGTAAAGGGTAGCGGATAATGAGTTCAGAGAGTTAAGTAGGGGCAGAGCCACGGAGGCTCTTGAAGATGATGAGCGACTTTGTTTCTGAAGTGAAGGTGAATGGAAAGTCATTGTTAGCGAGCACGCAAACAGCACTTGCCCTAAGAGTCTGCTAGAGGCAATATGGAGAATCGTTGTCTTTGCCTATGTGTAAAAGTGATATTCAATGGAATTATAATGGTATACAATACTTATCATTAGGGTCATATTTTTGTATCATATCCCAGACATCGTAGTCATTTTACAGTTGAACATAAAAAGTTAAGCATAAATGCCTTTACCACTTAAGACATTTCATTTATGTCTGATGAATGTGTTGAATGACATTTTATATCAGAAAAAGGTAATAAATTTTACCTTTTTTTTACAAGAATGGAATTTCTCAGTCAAATTAAACTGCAAGAACATGAAACAAGAGATAAGTACAATGCACCCCCGAAACTAGATCTGTAATTATCATAAATATAATATGTACACTGCACATGCTGCTCTTTCGTTTAATTATTAAACGCACTATCCTATTTTTTGTAGTTGTAAAAGCGTAAAAAATAATGAATAAACATGAGCAAGCGGTGCTTAATTAATTTGAAACATTTTCATCTTGTGAGAAACATTGCCGTGGCTTGCTTATTTTATGTAACACGTGATATTGGCAACTTAAAACGAAGCAGGATCCTTTTGCTTACAATGAATTTTTCCAGACAACTGACAACGTTGTTCATTGATGCAGACCTGGGAAGTGATATATACTCCAAGTCTTTCCTTCAAAGCATCCCCTTGTGTGAAGATATTAGTGCTTTGGCTCATTTACTACTCGTACACTTGGCTATACTATATAATATTTTACAGCTTGGAAAGGCCAAATGAAATGTTACACAAATTGACGTTGTTTTTTGTAATGTATTACAATTCTAGTACTTTCATGTAGTCATTGGTGGCCTAAGATAACTCGCTACATTTAAGACAATTAATTTACTCTTTGAGTGGCTGCCTATAATCGAACCTATGAGTTTATACTGGTAGGAACGAAGTTGTAAACTGAGTGTACCAGCCTGCAATAAATTAATGTGTCCGTCCGTCCCCTTTCAATACTTTAACGAAGTGAAATCTCGTGCTGTTGGGGTGTAAAAATAAAATTGCGCAAAATTCCAATGTTCCTACCAGCCCACCCTGCAGGGACCTGTTTGTGCATGGGCTGCGAGTTCTGATCCACATAGTCACCTATTAGAATACAAACAAAACTGAATACGCCAGTTACTTAATGCTGAAAAAAGTGTTTGTCGGGGAAGTTCTTATCTCCTGTTCATAAACCTGAGCCAGTAAGATATTAATTTAACATTGCTATAACCGGACGTGGGTCTGACTTTACACAAATTCAACCATTGCACTAGAGCTGAATTCTCATTTTAAAACCGAGCTTATTCATTACTATACAAACTCTAAATCGCAAACCTCACACCTTAAACCTAAATTTAGGCTTTGACTCTAAGTTATAACTATAACTTGTAATTCTTGGTTATTTCGGTAAAGTCACGTAGAAGGGAAACAATGAAATAAAACAATAAAATTCTCACGACGTTTCGACTGCAACACAAGCAATCATCATCAGGTGTGAAAACCACAGCAAGAAAATTTGAAAAAAGTGGCGTTTTTTATCGTTATTTTATTGTTTCCCTTCTACGTGACTTTACCGAAAGAACCAAGAATATGAATCCCTGCAGTCACGAAAGCTTTAAGTCAAAATGTATAACTTGTAACTCAAATGTGATTAATATTTCTGCATTTCAGTCGCGCATTGGTTTTCGAAAAATGGATATCAATGGTAAAGCAAAATCAATAATAATAATCATATTCATCACAGCCAATATCTTAATAAAGTATTGAAATAAAAAAATTACAATTTTAAACTTCAATCGTTTTAATTAAAGTATGTACAGTTTGGATGATGTACTTTAAACATTTTCTGCACCAACCACGGACCGAGGTAAATTCATATATCAATACTGTAATGTATTATTTGGTTAAATGTCATCTCTTATATATTTTTTTCTTTGAAAACAGCATTATTGGCTAGTGTGTTTGTTTTATGAACAGACAACTTCAAATCAAGATTGAAGTTCATTATTCGTGACAATACATGGCGAGACTTTGATCCAGCAGTCATTTACTGACTTTTTATACAATGACTGATTATAATATAATTAGGATAATTATAAACATTGCACCAATTTGAAACAAGACTCAATTTCATATTCTGTACGTCAGAAATTGTCTAAACTGTATATACTGTACTGTATTTGTTAGTAATCATCTTCAGCCATGATCAATCCACTGCGATGTAATAAACAAACTAGTAACATGCTGCATAAAACACATACAATATTAATTCGTGTCAACATTTATTACAAGTTATGGGGAAAGTCCCCTTTAAACATTTTCTGCACCAACCACAGACCCTGAGGTAAATTTGTAACTATGGATAACATACATCACATTTTAGCCTTTCAAATCACCTTCTCAAGGTAATTATGAATAAAAAAAAACTCTAAATCACACTCATGTACCTTGAGGTTAAGACGGGAAAAAAGAAGCAAAAATTATTCACCGTAATTTTTGTTAAGGTTCGGAGATATACAAAAGAATTGGCGGCAAACCAAACGCGCTGCGCGCCGATTGGTCAGCTGGCTATGACATAACGCAAAGTAAGTCCATTGGAGGTGAGACAATGACGTAAACAACACAACTAAACGATGACGTAATTTTACACGTTTGATTATGACGTTGGCGCAGCAATGCGACGTGGGGCACGTCACGACGTATTTCTCATTGTCGCGTGCACAATTAACTCATTAAAAAAAGTTACTGCCATGAGAACGTGGGAATTTCCGTCTTTGTCTCAGTACGGTGCTGCAGAGGGAATATGAACACTGACTCGTGCTTAAATTTTGACTTAAAACTTTTGTGACTGTAGGAATTCGTATTCTTGGTTCTTTCGGTAAAGTCACGCAGCAGATAGAAAATAAAAATAAAATAAAAATTATGAAATAAATTAAAATAAAAAATTATAAATTGAAAATAATAAAAGCAAAAAAAAACCCACGACGTTTAGATCGCAACACAAGCGGTCTTCATCAGGCGGAGAGAAAAGAGGGGGCAAACCTCCAAATGCAACTGCTTATAAGGGTTTCCAAAGTGAGTGGGTGGGGGACGAGAGCTGGGAGGAGGGCTGCGATCAGCATTGGCGGGGCAGCCAATCAGCCAATCAGCCAGTCAGCCAATCAGCCAGTCAGCCAATCAGCCAATGCCAATGTCGGAGTAGACAATGGGGGAGATGGGAGGAGGAGAGATGCACTGCGTAAGTCAGCCAGTGCTAATGTATTAGACAATGGGGGAGGAAGGGGGTAGAGATAGGAGGAGAGAGAGGGGGTTAGAGATAGGGGGAGAGGGGGGTGTAGAGATGGGGGGGGGAGGCATTGCACCTCGCTACACACATCCA